GATGCATTACTTTATCACAACATCTATGATAATGAAGAAATGCAAAGTTCTTTCTTTAGAAGAGAAAAATCAAAGTTTTATCAAGGAAAATGTGATATATTATGTAAAACATTTGTGTTTTATGATGTAAAAGTTTCAACAATAGCAGATAGTATGATATAATTTCCCTTCAGATTTCATCACTATTAAAAAGAAAGAGATAAACTTTGAAAAGCTTTCATTCATCAAAGCTCTTTTTGAAGATATTTAATGTAAGCATTGATTTTTGATAATTTTAAACTCTGGTTTAATGAACTCCCCTGATTAAAGAAGAGAATAGCATTGATAATTTTGTTTCCTTTATTAATGTCTATGACTACGTTTCAAAACTTATTATTTAGAATGAACACTAAGTCTTTCTAAGTAAATTGTATTATATAATGAATTTAAACTTTTTACTAAAGCTTGCAATATGTTGATGAACAACAAATTAGTTTACAAGACCAAAAAAAAAATTGTAAAATCTTTTGAAAAAAAATTTTTTTTCATTAAACTAGCATCTATACAGGGTTTCTATACACAATATACATATTTCTGTATATATATTGCCTTTCTTGTATATTTTTAGAATCATTGGCAGAAATGAAGTAAAAATAGATATACACATTAGGTTTGCAACTTAACATAAAGTTTAGAAAAAAAAATTTCAAATCATCATCACTGTTAACATCAATTGAGACTGAATTTAAATCTTAAAAGTACTTTCATCTTACAATCAAACTAGATTTTATTCTTGTCTCACTTGATACTGACAACAATAAAGATTCATCAGATTTTGTCAACATTTCTTTTAACTTAGTAGTAATTAAATTTTAAATAATGCATTTACATTTACTCTTACATCATTTTTAATGTGGATTCAAAAAATGTATATTAAAGGCAGTGGTTTTAGAACACCCCACATATCTATAATTCACACTGTCGAGCAAAAATTTAGACACTTTAATAAAATTTATATCCTTAAAATAAAATAAAAAAATGTTCTTTTTACCAAGTAATATGGTAATAAAATTGCGAAAAAAAAAAATAATAATTTAGTAATAATATAATACTACTAATAGATTAAATACTAGAAATAAAAGGAAAATGATAGAAAAACAAAAATCACCTAAGTTTAGATTAGAGTTTTCCAATCTTTTTTAACCATGCAAAGCTTAAGCCATTCCAAAATTGTTGAGGGTCCCCAATTGAAGAAATATTGAATTTTTCACTAGTTAAAACTTAAAAAATATATTCAAAACACAAAGCTAGTTGCCTTTGCCTTAATCCGATTGACCCTTTGTGAACCTTGCGTACCACATTTTCTGCAGGAAAAAAGTAAAGTAAAATTATGCCAGCTAAAAGTTTATATGTAGCTCCACAAAATTAATTTCCATTATATTGCATTGAAAAGCAGACCCACATCGGATTTGTGACAATATTTGTTCAACTTTGTTATCTAGTAATTTTTGAACCCAACCCAGAAGACAGGGAAACTCTTAGATGTAACAATGAAAAGTTTGTCTTCAGATTTTTCTTCTGAAACCAATTTGCTTTTGCATTACACAAAGAAAATCACATAAACCTTCCACGGCTAGGTTGTCTACAAAGGCTCACTGATTCACAACTCATCTGCCGCTGAAAGCATTTTTTTTTCCCGTAAACACTGAGGCTTATTTGGGCAAAACATAGCAAAGGAATCTAACAGGGGAGAAAAAAACAATTTTTTCCTTTTTCTCCCATCTAAAAAATTGAACAACAAAGAAAAAAATACTAAATTATTAATTATTACTTCCATTTCTTCAGGTATATTTACCAAAAACAAATTTTAAAAAAAAATTTTAAGAACTACATCGGATTTCCATGCAAAGTTTCTTTCTTAAAGTAGTTTAATCAAATCTGAAAGTTAATCAATTTATTTTATTTCACTTGTGATACTTTTTTTACTAATTTTCACTTTTTTACATTTTAAGTTCTAGAATTCGGTATGATATTCTCTCATAAAATTTAAAACACAAATATTTTACTTTATTTTTAGTCTCCCTTTTTAATATATATAATAATACTTTGTATTAATTTTACATTTTATATGCATAAAACTACATATCGGTTTTACATGCATAACACAAAGTAGTTTCACTTTTTATATCTATAATACTAAATATCAGTTTAAATTTTCATAGGTATAATACTATGTATCAATTTTACTATATATATGTATAATACTACAATCAGTTGGTCCACCTAAACTAGGGGCATGCACAACCTGTGGCACGCCAACTGTTGATGTGCGACTAACAAAAGCTTCTCAATAAAATAAAAAAAATTCGAAAATTTTGAATCACACATTTGAGTCATCACTTTATGACGAGCACAATTTACCAAGATTCTATTGTAAATCTATGCTTCTCGATCGCTTTTTCTGCCGTAATTGATTTGGAATTTCGCATTTGTTTTAAAAAACCCAATACTTTTAACAGAACATTAGGATACTTAAATTTCGAATTTGAGTAAACACTTTCCGTCTCTTTTATTTTTACAGTTATAACTTATATGCAAATGATTTTTCAATCCTTTATTTCTTGCCAGTTTGTTTACAAATTTCCATGAAGTTTTTAAAATCCTGTTACATTTAATACAATATTATAACTTGTGAGTTTCAAATCGTGCATTTAATTTTTTATATATTTTATTCGCGCACTTTTTGACTATCTTTGCTTACCTCGATTTCATCATATAACAAAAAGATTTTTTTTTTAAAAAAAAACTTTTTTAAAAATCTGTTTTTGCAACGCTTTTCCACGTGATTTTAAAAATGCCAAATTTTTACTTAGACACCATTATGACATGCGAGTTTCAAATCGCACATTTAAATAATCACTCTTGACGCGATTTGCACATACCGATAAGATTGCAAATCCAGGTTGTTTTTCAACTATTTTTCGTTATTGCTTTACACTTTCACATGGTTTTAAAAATTCTGAATTTTATTATGACATGCGAATTTTAAATAACGCATTTAAATATTGACATGCTTCATTCGTGTTGATTATATCCTAATTTAAGATATTTATTTCTATTTATTTATTTATTTTTTGCAGTTATTGCAATATTTTTCAACGTGATTTTGGAGATAATGTTTTTTTCCAACAACGATGTTATTATGACAAGCAAATTTTTAATCATGCAATTAAATAATCACTTTTTGATACAATTTGTGTCATATTTCATCGTCAATCCAAATTATTATTCCATCGTTTTTTTCGGCAGTTAGAGCCAATTATTCTAATACTTTAATACAATGTAATACAGAATACCAATATTTTAATACAATGTAATTGCAGCATAAGGAATTCAAGAAGTGTCAGAAAACGTGAATTTTTAAGCTGCTCACTGTTCGCAATTTTTTTTATTTTTATTTTTGTTACTTAGGTGATTTCTTCAAGCGAAAAATAAATAAATAAATAAATAAAACTTTATTTAAAATTAAAATTAATGAAACCTCTAATAATTCAAGAAATGGAAATAATATCTGAAGTATAATACTAAATAAACATTGAATCTTATTTTGTACTATAATAGTTTTATTTTAATCTTGTTTTTTTTAAACCCTATAAAGTTTCTATGAATTTATGTTACTCATCAAAATATGTATTTATTGATTTATTTATACTTTTATACTGTGAAGATAGCATTTTTTTTTTTTTTTCAAGTTTGAAATTATTTTAAAATGATTTTTTGTACTAAGTGATATGACAAAAAAAAACACTATTTTTTTATCCAATTTTTATATTTTTTTGAATACATCAATTTTTGATAATAAGGGGAAAAAAAATTTATTTTTTTTTAAAGAATCAGTTTTTTCATTTTTAAATATATTTAAAAATTAAAAGTATTTAATTTTCTGAAAACATCACAGATAAATTCCAGGGTTACTGATGTGGGGGGATTTAATATTTGTAGTGGTAATTACACCACATTACTCCCCTTCCAGAATTTGATCTGTTATAGAATTCGATGAACGATTACCACTAGATGAGTCATGCTATTTATATCATTTTCACTCATTATATATTTTTTCTTCATTTTTTTATAGCATTTTGTTCATTATTTTTTTGGCTTATTATTTCTCTTTTTTTTGTAGCATTTCGCTTAATATTTCTCTTTTTTTCCTTCATTTTTTTTTCTTTGAGCAGTATATTTTATAAGCAAATCAACTGTTTAATGTGGACCATCCATCGATGTTGACAAGTTCATATCACGTCCGCAGGTCACCAATGTGGGGGGTTTAATGTTTGTATAGGTAGTTACACCACACTGATAGAAAAAATCATTGCTTATGTTTACATAAAAATTTTGTTATTTGCCATTAACATGTCTAAATACGCACGCGAGTGGCCCTTTGTTGTTCAACCTGCTGTGCAAGTGGCCATTCACTTAAAAAAGTGGTGCACCCGTAACGTAAACAAACTCACAGCTTTGCATAATTACCAATGGCATTTCTATGATCTCATGAAATATGTATTTCAAAAGCAAACTTAAGGTGTGGAAAAGCTACACAAGCTTGCTGCTTTATGTCTCTTTAAAATCATACAGGTAAAGTAAAAATACAAAAAATACAAATTATACACGAACTTGTCACTTTGCAGCACTTAAAATAATATATAACTGATTTAGTGACCAATTCATTCATCTATACAAAATTCATGGCATTGTGGGTCTACACAGTCTTCAAGTTTTGAAAACATCAGGTAGAAATAACACAAAAATTTATCAATAAGTCACAAATCAAGCTTCAAGACATAACCCATCTGGTCATAATCTACTAATATTTGACACCCACAAAATAAAATTAAAGCTTGAAACACTTTGGATACACAGACAGACCCAAATATTTTTTTAATATTTAATATATAAAAGATCAGTGTGGCATACGTTAACTGAACATCTAATTTACTATCTATATATGAAAATAACATTACCTGAACTTTCTCAATAACACCAACGATGGCATTTTGGTCTGTAACATCAACAACCTGAAGTTGCAAATTATAATCTTGTTCTTCTAACCAATCCTGCAACTCACAAAGCTGATCAGCCCATAATTTTCCAGGGCCAGTTGTTGGAAGAGTACCGCCAAATGTGATTCTAGATCTTCGAGCTACAAGAAAATAAAAAAACTTAAAGTAACAAACTATTGACAAATAATCATTTAATTACCAACATACATTAACTAGATATAGTGAAGTGCATTGAAAGAAACATTATATAGAAAAATAAAAATTATAGAGCTGCAAATGTAAGTAGAGCACACACATCACCATAATTTTTACCCTCAAAAAGAAACCACATGACTGGAGGGCCAATTGAGAGAAAAATTTTCTACCTTCCATTTTTTCTTATTTTTTCAATATAAGAAAATCGATGCATGTTCACAGTGGCGCTACTAGCACTAAACTTATGCGCCAAGCGTAAAATTTAAATAGACATCATCTTTTAGTTGTATAAGCGAACCTACCAAATTTAATTTATCTAGCACAACTCCTTTTTGGAATATGGATTTTTTTTTCTGTTTGTAAGTAGCTTATAAATATGTTAAAACTAGCTTATATAATATGTTAAATCTAGTTTATAAATATGTTAAAACAAATCCTTTAAAATAAAATAAAATTTTTTAACTAAAACACTTCCTAAGCTGAATTCTAAAATATGATAGATACTTTATAATTATGTACAAGTATAATTAATAAAAATAAACAAACTTTAAAAAATAAAATTGCTTTATACAATTTTTTATAGTTATTTTGTACAAGTTTTTTTTTAATATATAAACATTTTTATATGAAATTTTAATAAAAATATATTTTAACAAGAGTCTTGTCCAAAAATTATCCAATATTAAGCTGTTCCACTAATTTTAATGCTCCTGAACCTTTTAACTTTCCTCCATTGCCAGCATAGGTAAAAAACATAAATCCATCAGAAAAGAAAATGCATCTCAACTGACACACAATGTCCTTCTCTCTCTGGAGAGAACACTGGTTTTTTGATGAAGAAAAGCTTTCAACTAAAATTTTCGAAAAAACGCAATCAATGTTCAGGGGAGCAAAGATAGTATGATGTTTTTATGTAGGTAATTGAAAAGATATTTGAAGTAATTATACAGATATGTTTTAAGATATTCATATAGATATGTTTTATGTGTACATGTGTTTGTTAAATTTTATTTCGCAACTCTCTAATTAAAATATCACTAGCCACTACTGAAGTAGGAACTCAGACAATTAAATGAAATTGCTGTCTTGCAGTTCTGAATAATTCAACAAAATGAAATGCATTCATATAACTAAAAAATATATCCTTATGTCAGTGGTTAAATTGATATAAAAAATCTACCTGATAAAGTTTAAAAAATTTACAATTTGCTTAAAAAAATAATAAATATCTTGCACTGCAATAGCATTAGAAAAGTTTAAAATTTTCTTCAAATAACTAACCTTCCTGGGCTGATATATCTGAGATTCTAGAAGAAAATGTGTCCAATGGCATAGGAGATGGGCATCTTTCGTAAGGACGCAATTTCTTCAATAGCTGAGAGATTGTGTACCATTCAGAAAACAAATTATTAGCACTCCTTTTAACAGATGGTGGGAGAATTAAGGATGCTTTCTGGGCTTCGTTTTCAAGATCATTTTGCTGCTGCACAAGCTTCGATATTGCGGTGTGATGGCTAGTTACATCTTCTTTGGGTAACTGTTAGAAGACATTTAAAGTAATTGATTAGACAGAAAATAAGAGAAAACAATAACACAATTAAATGAGTCAGAACTTTCTAATATTGAAAGTGTTGGACTGTTAAACTACTTATCTAAATTTATGAAGAAAAAAAATTTATATTACACAATGGATGGGGTGAGGAGCTATTAAATTATCATCACCAAAAACTTTATACCATACTTATTCACAAATGAAACTCATAAAAAGGAAGTTTATATTTCTAAAGATATCAAAGTTACAAGAATCATCCATATTTAGGGTAATTAGTACCAAAATAAAGAAAGCAGAGATGGCCCTACAGTAATGCATGCCCCTAAACCTAGTGCATTGGAGGATTACAAGTGGCACTTCTATCAGTTCTGATATCACAGAAAGTTAATGCTCCTCTTTTATTTTTATTAATTCTTCTCTTCCATTGTCCTTACCAGCCCAAGCCAAAACATGTTACGCCTCTTTCTACAAGGTCCCTCATTCACAATTATATTTTTCCCGATCTTACTGAACTAAATTACTTTAGTCATTATGGATTTTTCTTAAAGTTTGATAATTATTAATATTTTATGTTCAAATTTAAACCATTGCTTAGGTTTAATGAATAATTTATCACAGATGGAGTCCCTAAATTAATGGAAAATAGAATTTTTATTTAAGACTCCAAATTAAATAATCAACTAAAAATGTTTTATTTTTTAATTATATGGTTTTGGTTTCTAAAAATAGCTATTTTGCATGGGGACTTTAAAAAATTCAAAGACCACTGAAGTCAAGAGCTATGATATGGTTATTATATGCTTCAAATAAAAAACACATTCTCTACTAATTTTTAAAAAAATCTAAATTTTTAACAAATACTAAGAGCATTTTTTAATATAATGGGATCTTCCTACAGTGCAGGGTTTTGGGTAAATGCCTCCTTTGCATCACCCTTTCAAGAGCTTGACTCCCTATTGATTGTTTCTGAATTCTGATTGAGTGATCTTTTAACTAAAAAGATTGAACTAATCTAAAGAGTGAGATAAATTTGAAACTACAAGGAAAGAATAAATTATTTCTTAGCTTGAAGGGATTTATTTATGACTATGTCAACCTTCATCTATCAAAAGGTACCTCAAGATAGAATCGAGTTAACATGCCTCATATACTAGTGATTTGGTAATTAATATTTGTAGTGGTAGTTATGCCACATTACTCCCCTTCCAGAATTTTATCTGTGATAGAATTCGATGAACGATTGCCACTAGTTGATTCATGCTGTAATATATTTATATCATTTTTGCTCATCATATTTTTTCTTATTTTTTTATAGCATTTTGCTCATTTTTTTTTTATTGCATTTCGTTCATTTCTTTTTCCTTCAATAACGTTTATTGACCGGGAGACTATATTTACTAAACCGGATTTTTCTCTTTTTTTAAGAAGTATATTTTTAAGCAAATCAACTGTTTAATGTGGACCATCCATCAATAATGACAATTTCTTATCACATCTGCAGGTCACCATTGAAGAGAAATTTTAATTATCGACTATGTCAACCTTCATCTATCAAAAGGATTACCGTGATGGAATCAGAGTTAACATGTCTTATATACAGTGATTTGGTATTTAATATTTGTAGTGGTAATTACGCCACAAGCTTAATAAATAGCATCAGTTCATTTAGCAGCTACAGACCACTTTAAAAATAAAAAATAAAATAATAAATACGTGGTTTCAACAAGCTCTCAGAAAACTAATTCTCCACACCATACAAAAACTATCCATGTTTATTTTAGTTCTTACCAGACATAGAAAACCAAAGAAAATAAACAAAACTTTTAGTCAAACTGATTTGTAATAGAATAAAGTTATGAGCAGGTATAAATCAAAGATAATATCATGTAAATAACCGGAAAAAATATTTGTTAGCAGTTTAAATTGCAACAATGCATAAAACCCATTCTGCTTGAATAATTCAGAGTAGATTACACATATTTTAACATCGATTGTGACCTTCCTCTAACTTTAAACTGTAATGTGACAAATTTTACTTTACTCAGAAGAATGGTATGAAAATAAACCCAGAACAGATAGAAAAACATCCTTTTTTAAGAAAAAGAATTTAAAATACAGTATGATTATCAAGAGATCAGAATCGGTTTTAAATTTCATAAGCATTAATTAATAAAAACTAAGTTTTAAACAAAGAACTAAACTTACTAAGTTGTTTTCATCTACTTTCCTGCCAGCACTGTACAGAGCAAGGCGACCTTCTAAATCTTTCTTTGTTTCCTGTAACCATTCATTCTCTACTTTAACTTTTTCTTGAAAGGAAGACAGATCACGAACATATAACTCTAAATTTTGACGTCTATCAGGCAGTATACTTGTGATCTATATGATGAAACAAAGGATACATAGTGAAACATTTTTCTTGACATGGAGTAAAAAAATAATAAGATTCAATATTAACACAAATTGTGCATAGCATCCTTTTAAAGGGACAGTTTTTTTTTTTTTAAAAAAGGAGAAAAAAGTCGTAGCATTGTTACAGATTTTTTTGCAGAAAGATTTTCATATTGATAAAGTAAAAAATAAATTACTTTTCTAGAAAGCGAAATTTACACGCAATATTTGAATCATGCATTTAGATAATAACTTTTTAACACACCCAATTTATGAAGACAGTATGATAAATCAATGTAATGTTTCAATTCTATTTTCGACATTTATTGATATTGATTTGCATGCAGATTTTAAATATCCCGATATATTTCAAACAATATGGAAAATTCAAATCATGCATTTGAGTATTTACTTTTTAAGGCAATAATTCTATCAAATTTTAAGCAATTATTGCTGTTAATTTCTTCATAGTTTTTAAATCCGATATTTTTTATATATTATTTATTACAACAGCCTAATCTCGAAATGAAACATGCATTTGATGAATCTGATTCGCATGATTTCGTCATCGATTTTCAGTTCGTCAATTACTACTATGGATTTCATGATTTTTAATTATTTTTTTATTGGGAATATTTACAAAATCCGAAGAAGGAAATAGTATCGTTATTGATTTCCCCATAGTTTTTAAGTCCAATATTTTTTAATATGATATTATTTATTACAAAAACCTAATTTCAAAATGAAACAATGCATTTGAGGAGTCTGATTTGCATGATTTCGCCGTTGATCTTTAAGTTCGTCAATAACTATTACGGATTTCATGATTTTTAATTATTTTTTATTGCGATTTAATTATTTTTCATTGTAATGATAAAATCCGAAGAAGGAATAATTTGTGTGTTGCATTACCATACATTATCAAAATTGAAAACTAAAAGTAAATGTCGTGAAAAACAAAATGAACATGAGTGAAAAACAAAAAGGATGACTCAAGGAAGATACACTAGGGAACCAATTATCCGGAACAATCTCCCGATTGTTCCGGATAATCTCCATCCCTATTTCGGATAACTGATTTTCCGGTTTTCTGAATCAGTACAAAAAGTCGTTTTTTTTTTTATTGTTAAACCCAACTAAAAAAAAAAATATTTGGAAATAATCTTAAAAAGAAGAAAAAACGATGAAATAATACACTAATAATTATTTCCAAAATGATGGTAAGGTAAACATCTTTCAAAAAAGAAAAAAAATCCTAAAATCTTATGAGGAAAAAAACATTTTTTAAAACAAATGGCGGGAAAATTTATCAAATTTCGTTCCAGTTTTTTGGTTTTCCGGTTTTCTGATTTCCGGATAACGGGTTCTGTACTGTACTGCAAAAATAAGCTTTAGTTAATAGTAAGTTCCAAATTAACAAAATTCATAAAGAAAGTGTTTTTCAGATTCCAGCTTTTAATTTTTAAAACAATTACATGCTAAAACAGTTTAATCAGCAATGTCAAACATGAGAAGGTGCATATATTTTTATTCATTCCTTTTCGCATACATACATCAGAAATGTTTTAATTTTCAAAATGGCTAAATATTAATTTCAAGATAAAGAAGAAGATAGATGATCTAACATTAATAAGTATAAAAAAAATCAATGTTAATATTATAACCAAACTTATTTCAACTTACTTTTGCATAACGCTGCTCTAAAGGCTCTACTTCTTCAATTTTAATCATAGATCCCGCTAATAGGACAGTTAAAAGACTACTTCTACGGGAAGGAATATCATCTTCATGTTCCTAAAATTAATACGGAAAAGTTACTCAAAGTACATAATAGAACTAAACAATATAGCAATATATTGTGAAATATCAGAATATGTTTATATATCATGTAATATTTTCAAATATGTTTTAAAATATATTATAGTTACAAGAAAAATATGATATAATTATGAACAAAGATAATATTGCAATGATAATCAGAGACAATGATTATCCAATTCCATAATATTGTGAGGATTACCTAAATTATATTTATGATTTTATCTGTCGTCAATGATAACCATGAAAAGTATGGATTATCAAAGATATTGATCTAAGAAGACAATAACGTGAAAATGACCAAGAAGGTACACATTTAAAGTTAAACACACACTATATTTGTAGCAAAATTTGTCTAAATATGATAATAATCATTCATAGATTCAAATTCCAGTAGATTGAGAGCCTATGAATTATTTATCTATAATATTTAAGTTACAGTAAGAAACAAAGTCCAAGATAAAATGTTCATTCAATATAAAATTTTTAACAAAATTTACAAGCAAAAAATAATCTTACATTGGGATTATTTTTTCTTGTAAATTTTGTTTTTATAAACAACTATTCAAATGCTATTGTTTAAAAAGTATTGAATGTTTAGAAATATATAAAACTTAGTAGAAACCAGTACATCTTTTACACTATTAAAACATATTTCAAACATTATAAAAATATATATTACCTTCAGTTTTTCCAATAATGATATGGCAGTTGACAGATCGGTAGTTTTTGGCGTTCTGCACAGAAGATTTTCTGTTTCTTTAAGCCATGATGTTAGATCCTGCATCTCACTTTTTGCTACAACTAATGCGTCTTGATCTTCATCTAATCTGCAAAAACACATAAAAATCAGATATCAGAATTAGAAAGAACAGGCTAATAATAGTAATAAAACACAGAACTGTATGAATGCAAGTTGAAAAAAACATAATATAAATCACGGCAAAAAAAATTTACATTAAAGACAAAATACATTACATAGAAACTAGATGTTTAATAATATAAAAGTTACAGTATAGGGTCAATGCATAGTAGGTTTCATTTTCACGCAATATTTTAAATTGTAAAAACAAATATCCATAAAATAAATATTATTTAACAGAGAAAACTTGCAGTAAGTAATTATGAAAATTTGCTATTATAGGGTCAATTTTCTAAAAATAACATATTTTTCAAAACTAAAAAAAATAACAAAATTTTAGACCAAACTCAGACAAAGTTTCCTTAATGATTGCTTAAAATGTTTAAGCTAACATAACAAATTACAAGACTAAACAAAATTTTATTCAATGATAATTAAAAGGCATTTTAATTTCTTTACAAATAACTTTTTTTTTTATCTAGCATTCCATTTAATCATAGATTTTGAAAATAAAATGTTCTGGAAATACATCTAAAAGTGGATTTTAAATATATATAATACAAAATTTATAAAATAACAATTATCTTAATAATAATTCATTTTCTGAACCTAGATGCCATTTTTAATGAACAATTTAATGTCTTAAATACAATTTAATGTGAAATAGAATATGCGCTATAATTACTTTGATTTCCTTGCAGCTAGTTCAGCAACTAAATCTTTCCAACGTTTATTAATAGAGTCTAATTGTTCTTGTAGTAGTATAGCATCAGGAGTAGAACATTCATTAAGCACTCTTTTACCTGTTACATTAATGGTCTCCATAATGGCCATTTTCTCACTCACTTGTTTCTGGAGCATCTGCAAACACATTTTATTAAAAGTTATAAATTGAAATAACAGAAAAAAATCAGAATGCTTTATATTAAATACTGAATTTAATGTTGTTGAACATGAAATATTAACAAACTTATACTGAAACTTATAAGAGATGATGCCTATTCAAAACTTTTGGCAAATATTGCAATCAATTTTAAAAAAAAATTACGAAAGATTTCATAATAAAAGTTTATCATGAAAAACATTTATAAAATTAATTAACAAAAATTCCAAAATTAATTCATTTAAATTAATTAGTAATTACTAAATTAATAATTATTACTTAATCAATAATTGATTAATTATTACTAAACTTATAAATGATAAATTACAAAATAGCCAATTAGAATTTATTTTATAATACTGTTAGAGGTATATGAAAAATATCTTAAAGGAAATTTAATTAGAATAAAATTTTCTCAGTCACTAGAAAAATGGTGGGAATATCGAACCACAAACATTTTATTTTAATTATAAGCTGAATGTATCTTTAAAAATAAACAATTAAAATGTTACATATTTAAAGAAATTGCAAAGTGACAAGTTTATAACCCATGTCCTTCTAGAGTCACTCCTCGAAGCACAATTGTGATGTGATTGCTTTCCTCTGTAACAAACCAGTTCTTACCCAGTTTCATAAATTATGTAAGCTTACCGAACAAAAATTTCTACACAAATTTAAAAAGCTCTGTGCTCAAAAGTTTTAAAAGTTAAAGAGCTCAGTGATTTATTAAGATATATTTACTCTTGCGTATCATTGAGCCCATAACTAAAAGTGAGTAAATAAACCAACTACCTTTAGAATTCCAGCTTAGGTTAAATGTTTTAAAAGAGAATGAATCCTCTGACAAATAAAGAGAATGAAACCTCTGAATCCTCTGACAAATAAACACCTAGTTACAATATTGGTAAAATTAACAATGCAATTACCGAATTTGCAATTATTAAATGTTTGACAAAATTCTGAATGTTATGTATAATTTTTTTCAAGAATTGACTTAATAGAAATTTACCAATTAGTCTTTTAAAATATTATTTTATTCCTTTTAACAACTAAAGGACAACTATTAAACTAAAAGGACAGATAATATTTGGAAAATAAAAGTTTTTATACCTCTTGATGACTTTTTGCTCTTTCATAATCCAAGTTCCCATTTTGTAGTCTACTGTGGGCTAATATTGCATCAGAACTCATAAGCCACGATGTCATATTTCTGAGATCACTCTCAAAATGCTGCCATACATCTCTTGATTTTTGCCACCTCCTTTAGTTAAAAAAATTAATTAAGGTAAGAAACACAAAACTATACAAATATTTACAAATTTGTAGTAGCAATATTTATACAGAGATAAGGTTAAAGATTGCAAAAAAACTCAAAAATAACAAATTGATAAAAAAAATTTCACAATAAAATCCATGACAACAGATTTAGGATTGATCCTTACTTGTATCTTTCATCATAAGCTTTATTTAATTTGTTCCACTCTTCGTTCAGCTTTTCAGATACTCGGTCAATTTGAGCCACCTCGCTTTTAGCTGCTTTCTTTATGATGTTTTCCTTTTCAGCCCAAATAACATCAACATTTGGTTTTAATGCATTTGTGCTGTCTTTGACACACTAGAGAATTGAAAACATAAATAACCAACTAAGCATTCTCAGCTAAACAAAATAAATGCTTACAGAAATAAAGAAAAATAATAAATCACAATATGAATATTGAGCTTGGTTTCAGTTAATTAAGTGCCCATCCCCTTCAACCCATTATTTCTTTCATTGTGAAAGAATAAATTTCTGGTGTATAAGTCGATAACTCAAAAAACCAAGTATGAAAATTTTAAAAATCAAACAACACATAAAAAAATTATAAATCTACAAAATTAAAAAAGTTAAAAATATTTCATATTGTTTTGGTTATGACATTTTCCTTGAAATTAGGAATAAGATGTATAACGTTATTTTAATGTGACACAGATGATGTTCTGGAATTTTTAAATTTGTATCTCTATAGTACGTTTTAAAAGTTTTCATTGTATTATGTATTTTGAAATACTCATAGATTATTTATATTAACCTTTTTTATTATTTTCTGAATGCAATTTAAAATATTTCTAAAACCTTTTTTAAAAACAAATATGATGAAAGAAAAGGCAAAATTAATTGTATATAACACACTAAAAATAGTTTTTAAAAGGAGTAAATTGATACAAAGTCATTCATATCTACCTCATTGTTTACAAGGCACCGATATTTCACAATCAACAAATGTCTGACTTTATTATAAGTGTATAAGTTGATCTCCTGATTTTCGGAAAATTTTGGGGTTTAAAGGTAAACTTAAAAATTTATATATACAGTATACAAATTTCAGTGAATGAATCTTCATTAATTAAATTCTGCATTTATTTTTTGAACTTTGATTAAAGAGTTTCAGAATTATTTAAACTAATTATATGCTGTCCTACAATTTCATAAATTAAATTTTTATTGAATCATTTACTAAATAATTAAGTTTTTAGTTGACTTTTCAATAAAAATTTAAACTCAAACTTTCAGTTGTACTATTGTACAAATTTTTCAGTTTTTAATGTGCTAGTTCAACAAATTTTAGTTTGAAAATTGTAAAAATAGGCATGTAAAATTTGAATCATCATCTATAAATATTTCAATAAGATTTTGAAAAAAACTACCTTACAAATTTTACATTTTAATAAATCACTAAACTTAGTTGCCCTAGCCTGTATATTTGAAAATTTCTATAACGAAAAAATATTCTTTTGAATTATAAATGGCCATAGAACATTACATTTTAACAATTAAACATTATTATACTTAATATAACTATTACATTTTAAATTTAACATATTAAAAAATATTTTAAATACAAAAGATTAAATAATTTATTAAAAAGCAATGCATCAATTCCTTGCTTTTAAATAAATTGCTAAAATTATAAATGCAATTGTATTTATTATTTTATGCTAATATAATCCGGAATTAAACCATGGTAAATGATCGAACAGCAAAATTATTAATATCAATTCAATAATATTCAGTGGTAATATGAATATACAATATATGTGCGTATAATGTACTTTAAAAAGTAATCAAGTAATCTGGAAATCAAACAGGTGCATTTCTGATATATTATAAAAATACTAAAAAATTATAAATGACTCAATAATTACTTTCAAAGAATTTTCTTGTCGTCCAAAATCTTCAAAATCTTTTCCAGACAATTCAGGCTGCATTAATTGCCTATTCACTGCAGCAACAGCTTCTCTAATTTTATTTACTTTAGCTATAAAATCGGGAACAATCACTGGATTAGAAGTATCCAAAACAATAACTTGATCTTTATCCGTTTGTGTAACAACAGTCTTTGAAACAGGTTCTTTTAAAGATTCCATTTCATCTATACGCATACTGATTTCAGCTAAATTGGTAGTTGTTTCCTTTAAGAATTTTTGAAGAAGTGATTTGGAAGCTCCAATTTCAACAGCTTCTTGCTGTAAGCATTCAAACTCCCTCTGCAATCCCTTGGCTTCTTCATCCAAAGTCTGTGAAATAAATATAAGTATTTTTTTATGGCAGAAAAAGTTAACATAATCTCAAAAATTCAAAAAAGAGTTAGCAAAATATCAGAGATTCAATGTCATTGTATTGAGGAATTGGTCAACTGTACAGTTAATTATTTTTAATGGAGAGACTTAGTAAACTTAAATGTAGGTGTAAGGTGAGTAGAAATTAATTGACTAACAGCTTGAGGCAGATATATATAACCGAGCTACAATAGCACTATGTGACAGGTAAAAAAGAAATCAAACAATGCTAAATACAGAGCACAATACAAGAGTAGAGTAATCGAACAAAATAAAAAGAGGAAAATTAAAGCTTCTTTGAGGTCACAGAAACATTATTTACAAAAACAAACAAAAAACAGAAAAGTAAAATGAAATGTAAAAATAAACTATCCATTAAAATTAAACACTGCACACTAACTAATAAAAAAAGTTAAAAAAAGCAAACAAACAAAACGTAAATTTATTAATAAAAAAAAAAAGAAGTAAAGGTCAATGGTAGAATTCAGGGTTGTGTCATGCATTTGCAGGGATACAAACCAAAAAAAAATTTAATCACTGGTTTGTCAACCATTGGCTAAAAGATATTACTAGTCCAGGAACGTTTTCATTTATCCGTTTACACGCCTCTGTTCGATTTTTTTGTTAAAATAGAGTGAATTTAAATTAAAAATTACAATACTAAGAATATTTCATTTTCACACTTACGATGAACGATGCTATTTTGTGACAAAATTACAGACAAAAACAGAAAACTGAAAATAAAAAGCAATAAAAAAACTGATAAAGCATACCGACCCTTTGCACATACATAAATTAAAATCTACATATGCATGCCTACAGCTAAACAATATGAAATGAGCACAAAAAAAGCAACATAAATAAATACTCTACAATTTTGATACCATGATTACAACAAATAAAAAACATTCTTTAGTGTTGAAATGAAAAATTAAAGATTAACATTGCTTCAGTGTTGTAGAAAGTTTTTTATCGAACCAAAATTATAATATGACCATTTATATGAATTTGTTTGTGTACTTTTTCATAATTAACATCCTCGATGTTTACAAGGAGACAAGAGCATATTTAAATAAATCAATAAAATAAATTCAAAATAAGCAATCTTCAAATGAAAAAAAATCCTATAGTTCAGAAATAGAAATATTAAGTTTTTAAACACATAAGAAAAATTTTAAAATGTGTATGTATGAAAAAAAGGAAAATTTAAACATATGAACATGTGAGAAAAATTTAAGAGCCTAAAGAGCCTTTATAATTTTAATGATTTTTTATGTTCAACAGAACTAATATCTAGTTAGTTTTTTCTTTTTTACAATTAAACCACTATAAAAAGCTGGGAACTAAATTATCCGGATCTTGAATTTAGGTGAATTATTACGAAGCAATTATATAGCTAAGATATTAAAGCTAAAATTTTACAAACCTTCTGCTTTGAGACTGGTATTTTATTTCCATTTTGCAAATTTAGCAAAAGTTGCTGTGATTGATCATAAATTCTGCTATTCAGTTCTTCAAGATTTGACCATTTGCTTATTTTTTCATTTAATGTGAAATGATGTTTTTCTGCTTTTTCTCTTATATTCAAGCCCATGTCTTCAAGCTCTTTCATTCGGTGACTTAATTTTTCAGCACCTGCACTGTCTCTACTTTCGTAAACCTGCCAATCACCTGCTAGTTTTTGCATGTTATCTTCAACTGTGAGTGCTTTTTCGTTGAAATCCTGATTAAAAAAAAAACAATACGTAATTATTTCAACAAATTTACATAAAATATGCATTAAGTTGATACAGTAAGAGATTAATCTATAATTATCACATTTATGCTAATAATTAGCTAATGATTTTGATGAAGCACTACATTGTAGTAATGTAAAATAAAGCTGGAATTTTAAGCAAATTAATTTTAGAATTTTTACAAAATTTATAAATTGAATAAAAATTTTGCTTAGTCAGATAAAAAGCTTTATACAATTTCTGTTTTCCAAAAGAACCTGACAAAGCATTTAAAATACATATTAATCATTAATGTTGTTCCTTGCAAAACTGGTGCGCCTTCATATTTTAAAATATGCACTTTTTTCTTAATTGTATTTGTAAGTCATATTGTTCATATAGCTGCAATTAAGAATAAAAAGTGATAAAATCTTAAAGTAGATGGGCTACAATTAAGAATGGAGTAAAAAATAGATTTCAAAAATTTCGTTATTTCGAAATTCATTTACAAGGAAATTATTCACTTTCAGAATAAATGACCTGTGTGTATTTGTTTTCCCCCTTAAACTTTTGTACTTTCACAGGCTAGAAGGTCGAATATAAATACTAATAAAATAGCTTTATTTGATATTTTAGTTTCAACTTTTGCATGATTTGCTTGTTACTGTTGAAAATAGTATGACTGAAGTAATGAAAATCTATGCACAAAAGCTGGAGTTAACTGATAGTTTAAATGGAAAAATAATGTAGTAAACTAATTAAAAAAACATCCAAAAAGATAAAAAAAATTATGAATTTCCCTAGTTTAAAGGAAACGAAGGAAATAAAAATAAAAATATGACCACCGAAGCCGGCGTCTTCAGGAGGTACTGGCCCCGGTAGCCATAAAACAAAACCATTTCTAATTGAGGGAGAAGCAAATGCCTAAATTAACTCCTTCAATACCTCGATGGCTTTGTATAGAAATATTTGACATTGCTATGCTTACTTATTTATATATGCCACTAATACTTATTGTGAACACTTGTTTTAGATCATTCTGTGATCTAAATCAATGCTCACGTCATGGATTTAAAAAAAATAATGTATATACCAATCCATTCCATTGCTTAATTAGATTCAATACAATAAATGATACTACAAACACCTCATTTAGTTACTGAGTATTAGAAAATGTCAAAAATTAAATGCATCAAGATACTATATAATTAGTTGGATGATCCTAATGAGCATGTTTAAACCATAAAATGGTTAGTAACTAAACTCTCTTTTTATTACTGAATATTTCAAAATGTATGATAAATAAGCCGCCATTACATTTCAAAACATGTTTTTTAATATCTATTAAGCCAAAAGTGAGAAGAATAAGTTGATTGTGAATTTGTAATAAAGACGAAAAAGTTGACTACCTTAAGTTGGTTTTCCAAATCATGAATAGAATCGAAGTTTTCGATTTTAGAAGTTGAAACAGCTTTCTCTAGCTCAACTAGACTGGAGTGTAGTTGCCTAATATTCAAGCTGATTTCATCAGGTTTTGGTGAACCTGGTTCTGATATAGGCAATTGAACAGGTGAAGCTCTAAGTTGCTCTATAGTGACTCGCTTAACATCAATTTCCTGATTTGAAACTAGACTCTAAAAATATACAAAATAATATGACATTTTTTGATGAATTATAGTACATAACAGACAATCAAGGGTGACTTTCAGGATAACTTTTCAATCAACTAAAGGTACTTTGCAATAAAACTGAAAGTACTTTAATAAACATAAAAATACATGAACCAAAAACTTTAGGTAAATTAAATCTAAATGTTAAACAAATTAATATAACATTGAGTATCTTCAAATGTTAATCAATATCAATGGTAACAGAACTATTATAAAAAGTAAGTCATTAAAAAAACTTATCCATCACATACTAAAAACATATAAATTTTATAACTAGATATAATACAATATATTGAATAAAACAATCATTATGCATAAAAACATATCTTAATCTTAACTGTAAATACTTAAAAATGGACTTAGACTAAGTAAAACATGGATAGGTTTATTTACTAAGATAATAAATAATTATAAAATGCAAAAATGTTACTAATACAACATATTAGAGTTTTTAAGAAAATGCAATGTATAAAGTGCAATGAAAAAGTCATAAGCAAAGAAAAAAACAAATATTCAATGTACATCAAACAACACATTTAAAAATAAATTTATTAATTAGAAGACAAACCTGAATTTTACTAGATAGAACTTCAAATTTTTCTTCAACTTCAACTATGTCAGACTTAATGGAATATTTCTCCTTCAATTTTCCCATCTGATTACTAGATTTGATTAACTCATTTTTCTTCTGCTCTACACTTTTCAATTCTTCTTGAAGATGCTGATAAAAAAAAAATAATAATTTTAAAATAAAATAAAAATAATAATACAGCCGAACCTCGCTAACACGAAATAAGCAGGACTATCATAATTATTCACTAGATTTCATCTTATCTGATACGTCATGGAAACACTTTATTGCATACTAGTAATACATATTTATATTAATATGTAATATAAATATATATTACTAGATACATTTAGTATGCAGTATAGTATAACACATATGTAAACAATGCTATTTTTTACCAAACAAATTAAAATGAGACAATAAATTTTAATGACTTTACTTGACTACTTTATTTTAACTATTTTATTCATTTGCCCATCTGCTACTTCTAACAAAGGCAGAAAATGGAAATAGCATCCCTAAAAATGAATAATTGGCTATTTATTTGCATGCTTCTTATCTGTGTAATGTCCAGTTTCCTTTCATGTTAAGTGATAATCATCTTGAAAATTTCATGTTAAACAAGTAAAATACAATAATTGATGACTGACTCAAGAGTCCGAACATGTATTTGATGTAAAGCAATTCTGTGTTAATGAGGTGTGACTGTAATATTAAAGGATAATTTAATTTTATAGCATATTTATATTTAAAAAACATTTCATGATTAAAAATTTTTTTTCAGAATAAGAAGTTAACAGTTAAGGTTTTGAGTTTATAAGTAAAAACAAGCTCACAGCTTTGAGGCATAGATATTTAGTATCCTTATTGAAGATCCTTTTACACAAGGCTTCTGTATACAGATCCGTTGCATTCACTTCAAAAACATTGTAAAGCATTTTTTTTTTCTTTATTTGAAAATTTTTTCAAGAAAATAGATGACAAAACTCCTTTTCAATTTTCCTTTCAAATTTCCAAATTAAAAGGATTGATAATGGATAGTTAAAGTGACATAATTTGGCTTAAGACTTCAACAAAAAAAATATTAAGGTAAATTTATGCTTCAAGACTCAAATTAAGGTAAATTTAAGCCTTCAGTTATTCAAATATTTATATCTCAGTTATTAATATTTATTATGCAGGCAGAATCCATTTTAGGAATATTGATTTCAGTTTCAAAAGTTTATCTAAAAAATAAAATTAAGAATACATTTAGTGAGAAAATGCTTAGAAAAGTAAATAATAGTTTAGTAGGTAATAACGATAGTAAAATATTTCAAAATGAATAATTCCTAACAATGGCAAGACATTTAAATGTAGAATACAATATAATTACTATGCTTATTATTATAAAAAGTCTTTAAAGGCAACACAAAAAGTGTATTTTTTTACTACAATGACAAGGAACCTTTTTTTCTATAAGTCTTTACATTTTTTTAGGGTCATTGGGTAATAGTGATGTTCTTGAAATAAGATGTACTTTATCAAACATTTGGCATTAGAAATGCTTTTCAAAAACAAATTTTTGTACTTGTATATAAAATTGTTAATGTAATAATTAAATTCAGGCTAAACATAATCAAATAGAGCTATATTTGGTCTATAACATTCCTACTCGGTTTCCTAATGTAAAGGAAATATTAATTATATTATTATATACATGCAAAAAATATAAAAAAATTCTTAACAAACATGCAAATAGCAACATTTATATGATTTATTTCAATTTCAAAGCACAATGCATTCAGCAGCTATTTACCAGATATTTTTTAAACATTTATCGGAAAATAAATTTTGATTCAAGAATAGATTAAATAAGAGGGATTTCATAAATGAATACATTTAAAAAATGCAATAATATGTTATTGTGTTACTACTGTTATTGTTTTCATTTCTTAACATTAAAAATACTTTTGCAAAATATACACTTGTTTCAGATTTAAACGTTCATCTTAAAAATAAAAAACTTTCTAACCAAAATAAGAAGATATTATTTTAAACATAAAAAATTACCATCTAATGATTGAATTCAATTATTATAACAGAATAATGAATCCAACAAAAAACTAGGCCTCTTAATTATAACATTTATTTTAAATTTCTTCAATATACACGGCACATTTTCAAAAATCATAACTAAAAATCTATATTCATTACATATTTTAAATTCACATAAACATTAAAAACATGCTGTAAGAAAACACAGTTACATGAAAGAAAAAAGCCATTGTGCAAAGCCACAGACTGCAAAAAGCGAACACTGACTGACAAAACAGTACAATAAGCAGGGAAATGAAAATTGCATCATAAAAAAAACACAAACCTCAAGTCTGGGTAACTGAGAATGTTTTTGTGCAGTTGAGAGCTTCTCAAACTTGACAAGAAATTTTTCAGCTGTTTGCAACCAGTTCCTCACTTCAGTTAATGACTGAAAAAAGTCTTTGGAATGTTCTTTAGAAGCATCCAGCTTGATTTGAGAGATGGGGGAATAGAGCATATAGAATAAAAAGAGTGCAACACAAAGGAAGAACAGCACAAAGAAAAATGTATTTACAAGAAGAACAGAGATTATATAAATTGCAAAATTGTAAATATTTTACCAATTTATAAATTTATCTTAAGCATTTAAAAAACATCAACGCTAACAACGCCATCCATCGCTAACAACGCCATTTGTTTTCATTTTATTTATTATTGCTATTCTTTTCTTTCTTTCTTTCTCAAGAATAGGATAACATACTCAGCAATACTTCAGGATTTCAGAATTTTCATCTGTATTCTTGACAGGGTTGAAACATTCTTGAATATTTAGTTTTTTTTATCACTACTGATTTCAATGCTTTTAATAGGACAAATTTTAATAATAATCTGTAACAAACCAATTTGTTTTCATTACCAATTTTACTATTACCAATTTTTTCTTTCTTTCTTAAAAGTAATAAAACATACTCAGCAATACTTCTTGATTTTGGAATTTCCTTCTGTATTCTTGTCAAAAGTTGAATTCCGAGTAGGTTTTATAATCATTACTGATTTTAATGCTTTTAATAGTACAATCTTAAATTACTATCTCTAACAAAGAAATTCGGTTTAATTTAATTTATTATTACTATTATTTTCTTTATTTATTTCTTAAGAGCAGGATAGGATAACATACTCAGCCTTACTTCTAGATTTCAGAGTTTTTGTCTGTACTCTTGTCAGAATGTCTTGTCTTTAATATTTAGTCTTACTATCAATACTACTTTCAATAGGAACAAAAAGTAACAAGAGTTAGTAAAAATTGTAAATTATTAAAAATGATTTACAAGTTGTTTTAAACTAAAAGTAACTAGCAAAAGAAAATATGTATAATTAGTTTAAATATAAAGGTTCAACTACACTTTTAATACAGTTAAATCTCATAATAGTACTAATATGTTAATAAATAAAGTTAAATATTTAAAGTTTTATTTTAATATACATAAGTAGAGAATGTTTCATACTTCCTAAAGATAGAATTTGAGGGAATATACTCTCATTGACTAGTATCTGCACTTTTAATAATTTAGTAAAAATAAGCAGGTCAACAGAAAGAAAATTAACATAATAATAATTTCTCGATTCTCATGTCGTTAAATATACTAGAATTGAATAAGGAATTTTCATATTAGATTAGAATAATGACACAAAAAAAATAAAAAAAATAACAGATAACTAACCATTTTTGAAATGATGCAAGAATAAGTGGCAATATTTTGATAAATTAAATATTATAGTAATAGGAATGTTAATTATATCATAAAACAATGTTTAAAAAAAATAATTTCTGATCTTACATAAATCTTCCTGATTTCCAACTCTTTTCCTTAATTAAAAATTGGGTAGTTATGGGGAAAATAGGGTTTACTGATGTTTAAAAACAAGAGCCAATAAATGTGCTATTTAGATGCAAAACTTTTAACTAAAAAATAATAAAGAAAAAAAGGCATTTTAACAGTAAACAACTGCAACAAATAAACTCTATTTTTTCAACTTATATTAATAATAAAAAATTTTATGAAATTGTCTTTTGCTAATATTTATTAAAGATATTTTTATACAATGACAATGATAAATAAAAAAAATATACCTTTAGATTTTCTATTCGTTTCATCAATTTTTGCTCAAATGAAGTAAACTGATTTTGAAGTTCGACAATGCTTTCCACAGAACTTTCGTCAGAAGTTTTGGCAGTTTCAAGCAGACTGTCTAATAAATTCTTTTTATTCCGAACCTCAGACAAAATATCCTAAAACAAAGCATGACTCATAAATTTGCATAAAAGTAGTTATCAGAAGGAAGGAGCATAAATGCAGATCTAATTTAAAAGCTCCAGCAACAAAGTTAAAATTAATTCACACTTAAAATGCTAGAGTATATTTATATTTTTGTCTAGCAACCAAAAGGGTCAAATCTGAGCAATCATGATGTTAACTAAGCTAATATAACAACAACAACAAAATTTTTTAATAATGTCCACATATTTACAAATAAAAATAAGAGTTATAAAGTTTAAAAAGAATGGTTATTTTATATTACAAATAACAGCAAAAGAAAAGTTTTATTTTATTGCATAAAAGAATTCTAGAAGAACAATTTACAGGTCCAAAAAAGTAGTGAACAAAACTATGCCACTATTTTTAAAGAAAATAGATTGAAGAAAGTAATTACTGAAATCTTATAAAACTTATTTATCTATCCTTGAAATATTTTTTCAAACCTTAAAGTAAGTATTTTAAACTTATTTATCCAGCCATTAAATAATTTTTCAAGCATTCAAGAACTTTAAATTTATTTATACATCCTTAACATAATTTTTTAATCATTTAAGTACTATCTTACACTGATACAAAATATTTCTGTAACAAAATGCCATTTTCTTACACATGAAACAAAGAATTGTCCAAAACATGCAATGTTTGTTAACTTGTGTAGCTTGTAACTTGTAAGCTAGAAACTTGTTAACTTGCACTGCGTAGCTTTTCCCATAAATTTATTGTTTAAGAAAATATGTACGAAAATTTTAAGGAAAAAGTTATTATAGCGATAATTTTACTTAAGCAAGAAATTATATTGGAAATGTAGCGAATATTTAATGCATATAACATAAATATCAGTAGATTTCAGAATTAGCTGCTGTCATTGTTCCCACCTTTTGTGAACTGCTAGTAACTTAATGTTAGTGATCACAAATATAGTAAGCAAAAAATAAACTTACAGTGCAAAGCTGAATTTGTAATTCACTGACGTTCTTTGCCTTTTCTGGGGCAGTTTTATCAGCATCCATACGAGCAGTATGAAGCCATTCTTGAAAATGAAATATTTGAGCTTCTAAGTTATTTTCTTTCTTAACTGAATCTTCCAGTGAGGATCTAATTTCAGTCACCTAAAGAAAATTACATATTAAAAACAGTTAAAATTATGAAATATATATTTTAAAAAATTCAAAGCGAAGATAATGATCGATTCTTTTACAGCTAAAAAATGTTGCAGCAAGAAATTATGACTATAGAAAGAGAGTATAATTATTTATTTAATTTACAGTTTATTCTACATTAGCCTATCTTTGGATTTTGTAAAATTATTATTGCTCATTTTATTAATTTAGCAGCATACCCAATTTAGAAACTAATAAGAAAAGTGAGGATCTAATTTCCATCCCATTAAGAGAAAAATCACATATTAAAAGAGTTGAAAATTTTAAGAAAATAAAAATCTTTCCAAGTGGATACAGATAATTACCAAACGTGTTTCAAAATTATTGTTATTTTAACATTTTATTGTATGCTAACAAATTATTGGAATCTCCTACAAAAATTCTGTTCACTTCACAAATTGAACCACATGCCTGATTATTGAGAAATTAATTAGTAAAAAATACAATTAAGAGAAAATTAAATATATTTAATGCTCAAGATTTTGAGCAATAAATTTTCAGCAATTAAATGATAACGTAATAATAAACACTATCTTTCATCCAAATTAGCCTTATTTAAGATATTTGTGATTAAACTATCTCTCTCGCATCATTTTTATTAATCAGTTAACACTAACTGAATTTTATAATACAACACTTTATAATACTGCAGGAATTAATCTAATTTTGGATTCTCAGTTAGTTGAAATATACTCAGATTACCCTAAAGAAAAATCCCTCAAATACACAGAATATTTAGTGTTATGCTTGGTTAAAAAACAGTTAACAATTGTGTAAAGGTTTAAAAAGATAGTTATCATTTAAAATAATTTTCTAATAAATAAAAGGTAATTTTTTAAAAAGAAAATAGCTTAAAAAAAAAAGACTCCAATATGAGGATTTTTGTGAAAAACAATTATCTAGAGCAAGAGCAACTTTGGTAAAATCGAACACCAATTATGAGAATTATATACAATACACACTTTAGATGAACTTCAAATTTAAGTTAAACTTGAGGAATACATACATAACTTTACAAATGTAGCAAATAACAGCTTTAAATTATGACAAAGCATAGACTTGATTTATACACATATAAAAAAATATAAAATAAATATTGATAAAAATATTAAAAAATATAAAACACAGAGAAATTTCATAAAAGAAACAGCAATTCAAAACTGCAAAAAAAACAATGTAAATAGTAGCTCAAAAATATTAAACAAATAAAACAGACAATCTCAGGCTATTTAACACAAGTAGATTAACGTAGCAATTACAATATTAATTGTAAAACCAACACCTATGATACATCACTTGCATTTTAACTATTAAAATATTATAAAAAGCAAAATTAGTCTTTAATGTTAGTTGAATTAAATTTGCGATATTTAGCAACACCCATGTAACACATGCAAAGTTTACCCTCTTTTTATGTACATCTTTTTTAAGAGCCAATCTTTTCCATGCAGTAACAACCAAATCAAATAATTAGGAAACAAAATAAAAATCATCAGAGGAGCAAATTAATGCTATAATAGCTCAGTGAAATTTTCTCGATTTGAAAAAATAGTAAACACTGCATATCAATGTTTAAAAATCTCAAATCAACAATAGTTTAAGTCTAATTATAAGTGTTAATAAACAAAATATGAACAATTTAATGAACCAAATTCTGATAAACAAAAAATTCAGATTAGATTTTAAGTCTGGAAAAACACTTCACTTAGAACAAAAATGAAATATCATAATTAATATCACAAACAAAATATTTTTTAAAAAAAACAAGTTATAATAAAAATATGAGCTATAATTTAAATAGATGCATCAATTACACGATATTAGGAAGAAAAAAATTTCATTTCAAAATTAAGCATTTTTTTATATGTTTAATTTAACCAAAAAAATATTAATTTTAACCAAAAAAACCAACCATTTAACGAAAGAAACTGTGAAATATAAATATTTCAATGGCTAAGAATTTAGCTTGGAAAATTGCCACAAATTCTTATCTGTTTTTAAGCTCCTGCTAACAAAACAGCAATGAGATATTGAAATTGATACAAATTACATTAATTATTTTAGTTAGTTTTTAAATTATTTGTTCTGATAGCTTTTTTAACGAAACGACATTATGTGAACGACATAATGTGTCTTCATAATGTAGAACATAAATTAAAATTTTTTAGACATAAAAACTACAGTGCTTACAAATGTTTGACATAAAAAATCGTGTTTAAATTTTAACAATCTTAACTTCGAATAATCTCAACTTGAAATAAAAAAACCCTAATTTTTATCAATGAATTTTAATTTTTGTGGCCTTTATTATTCTTTATATGCACTAAAATTTATGAATAGTTTTAAAATAAAAATAATACATGATTTTAAATTACATTATAAAATAAGTTTTATGAGAAAGAGCTTAGACCTAAAAAAATTATTGTGAAAGATGCACATTAAAAAAAAAAGGTTTTAATAGAATAGAGAAATATCATTTCAAAACATAAATTTGAAATATTCATTAAAAAAATAAAAACTATAAGTTATAATTGTCAAAACTAATTTGCCAACTATTGTCAATATAAAAGAATTTGTAGATCAATTTTTAAATAAAATATATTTATCTAATTTAAAAGAAAAATAAATTAATAGATAGCATAAATTTGCTCCTCTTTTTCACCCATCGCATTTCTTTCTGAAGGCAGCACTTTATTTTCGAATAAAACCACCACAAAAAGGCAGACTTCACCACTTAGATGCAAAAACATGAAATAAATTTTCATGCAAAATACGCTTTTTTCCAGTCTAACCTTAGAACCAAGAATGTTGTACTGATTCTTGTAGAAAGTTAAACGTTCTTTAAGATCAGATTGTTTTGTATCAGCTATCTGCCTTCCCTGTCGTATGCACAACTCCAATTCAGGCTTCAAATCGCTCAAAACTTTGTATAAATGCTACAATAAAAAGTCATTTTAAATTGCTCATAAATATTCAAACTAATCAGTGAATGGTAAACCATTTCAAGATCTGAAAATTCGAACATAAAAATTTGATATAACAGTAAAAAAATTTTACAATTTATGAAACATTATACTTTTCATTTAATTAAGCTATAAAGTTAGGCACTTAATACTAAAATTCTTAATTACTTACTAATTATTGAATGTAAATTACTTTTCATTCCTTAAACATTTAAACTAAAATTTAAAAATAATGCTGGATATCATGAAATAATTAAACTATTAAGGGAATTGTGAAAAAATTTATCTGTAAAAATTATTAGTAGTATTTATTTTTACTTTAGAAACCTCAAAGTAAAATAAAGAATAAATAAAAAATAAGTACCCAAGAGAAGATTTATACAACAAGCTCTTTTGGCACTTATTAAAAAAAAAATTTTATTAAAAATAAGTAGAAATTATTAAAAAATTTAAGCAATTTTTTTACCTGTGCAAGCTAACTAGTACATATTGAAATTATTAATAAAACAACTAAATGTTAACTATTATGATATTAGGCAGTTTAAGCATTAATTTTTTCCTTTTCCGTCTAGAAATAGAAATCGGGAGTTTTAATCTCCAATTGATAATCCTTATAAATCTAAAATTTCATTTAAAAAAAAATTAAAATGTCAGTAAAAATCAATAAAAAATTTATTAAAAAATATAAAGGTAAGAAAAAACTAAGTAAATTTAGAAATGATTCACTTTATAATTTTAAGTATGAATTTTTAGTTACAATTTCAAATCAGCTTAACACAATATACATTTGAATATTACAAAAGAAATTTCTAAAGCATACTGTAAATTTTTACTTATGCTAGATATAATGAAAGAACAAGGACTTACTTATATAGAGAGCTTATAGGTAAACAAAATGCATGATAAAAACCAGTTTAGAATTACGCAGAATTTAACAAATATTTTATTTTTTGTTAATTAGAGATTATTTAAGCCTACTGTACCTATTTATATTTCGTGCCTAAAGGAAATAGTATATTTTTCTTTATTCCAATATCAGTAAATAAACAAAGCAAAATTAAATAATAAACTATCATTTTCATTACTAAGATAAACAATTTAAGAAAAATGCTTGCTATGAATAAACATAATAAGTACATACCAAACATTTCTCCAGCTGACTTTCAGAAGAATCTGAATCATCACTGGACAGCTGAATTGATGTCAATCCACCTTCAACCTCATTCAGCATGCTTCCGATATTATTCAATTTAGATTCAAAATTACAAGGAGTTTGAAATTTGGTGAACTTTTCTTTCAACTCCGCAAATTTTTGCTACAATAAAAGGTTATCAAAGTTAATAATATATATATTTCCTTAATACAGTGCACCCCCGATTATCCGGGTTAATCACCGGTATAGGTGGTACGGACAATCGAAAAACACGGTTAATCCGAAAACTCCTCTTTATTAAAGAAAAAATCAATTCCAGTACAAAAAATATAAAAATTACTGATATTTGCATGTTGTAAACTAGGAATTTTCCCTTTAACATTTGCTGCTTAAAAAAATTTTAATGCGACTTTGCCATATATTGACACAGTAATGTCACCGCAATCAAATTCTCCCATATAATCTAATTAAGTTTCCACAGAGCAGCAGAATGAGAAATTGTATTTCACTCATTTACTACATTTCCTGCATCAGTTACTATCATCACTGTTTTATTTAATTAGCAATGATGTCATCTTCTGTCAAATACTGGAAGACAGGCACACACTTTGAAACCAATCTTCTAAATTTTCTTCGTCAAGAATTTCGAAACCTTAGATTTCTTTTGCTTGTTCAAAAATACTGTTATCATATTCTTCTTGAATATCTAAAGAAGATAGTTCATCAAGCTGTATGATTTTCTCCACGATCATAATAACGTCGATGATTTTACCTTTGGCCATGCAGCTGATATTCCATATACTGCAATCCAATAACGAATATTGCTTCTAAAAATTTGTTAGTGTTATAACTTCATGAATAAAATTTTTTTTTAAATGTTTCTCGTTAAATAAATATTTTTTATGTGACTCTGGAATGAGCACGGATAATCCGCAAACCGGATAATCCGCGCACGGATAATCGGGAGTGTACTGTATATTGAAAATAAGTATTATATATTGAAAATAAGCCTTTATAATTGAAAATAAGTATGCAGGATCACCTGTACTAGATGAAGCTGCTCTTCTAGACGATGAGCGGCTTCCATCCTGCCTTGAGATCGATAGTGTTGGACATCCTCCTCTAAAGCTGTTATGCTCTGTTCTTTTTCAGAAAACTCTGTTTCCAGTTGCTGCAAAATCAATTAATATAATGCAACAGTAAAAAGTAAATTGTTCAAATTATGCTATACAAAAAATATAAAAGAAACTATCATGTTTTAATAAATGACTTGTTATGAATGTGTCCAGAAATACCTACTCATATTTGACATTCTCAGACATATGGAAACAAGCTGATAAAAATATTTCAAAAGATTATTCAAAGAACACATAATAATGCACAAAACTTTTAAAAAAATCGTCCATGCTTAATGCTATTTGTTCTTTGTAATGCAAATGCAGGTTAGTAATATCAAAAAGTTCTCCATAAAAGCTAGCTTGTCCCAATGCTTGATCAAGAGTTTCATTATCTTCGGGGTTGAGTTCAAAATTATATGTTGAAAAAATTTAACATTGATAGTCCTAAACTCAGAATTGGGTCAGGTGTTGAACGCCGTTTACAAAAGAACTACTTGTACTTTAACCCACTGACGGTTCTGCACGTAAAAAGTCACATTTCAACCTGCAGTCTTCTCTGCATAGCAAAACCGGTTTTCCCATGTTAACTGATAGGGGAACTGTGTGTAGGGGAGAAACATTCTACCAATTTTGCCCATTTCCTTAACCGCCAGTGGGTTAAGTTCCTAAATTGATCAATTTGAAAATTATGAGTTAACTACTTAACAATAGTATTCATGTAAAAAGAAAACACTAAAATATAATGTAAATAGATACTAAACTCAATGTTAACTAATATATGACATCAACTAAACATTTAAAAATGCTAATTTGATTTTCTATGATTAAATATTTTCGAAAAAAGAACAAAATGTATAATCATCACTAAAAAAACATGGAATGAAAATTAAAAAGGCATGTAAAATATCATGAAGAGACAAAACAAAAATATAAGTAAATACTACCATATAAAATGTATCGAGAAATCTTTTGCTAATTTGGAAATTTTTTAAATCAATGCAAAAATTAAGGGAAAAGAAAAAATTGAAAAGTTACTTAGATTTTTCAAGTAAAAAAAGCTAATAAATTGCTTATGTGTATTTATGAATAATTAATGATGTGTACAATTACAGATTTCGAAGTGGGAGTAAACTACTGCCAATAAAAATGAAATACTAATTTCTTTGAATAAAATTGCTACAGCCCTCAAATTACTGCATATTTCCATTTGCATTCAAAAAGAAATGTCTACACTCAAATCACTATAACTGCATATTTTTAGTTATGTGGTCAGCATTGCACATCATCCCCATCCCCCTATTACTTCTCTGACAAGATGGAACCAATCTATTCGAAGCCAGGTGGCTCTAAACCATGACCATGACTCAGAATCAAACTCCAGTCCTTCACAATGACAGCTCATTGCCTTTAATCTTTGAGACATTAAAGCTTATTTAAAGTGTACTTACAGTCAATTCATCAGGAACATCTTGTGATGAAATATCATTATCCAATCTGTGTTGTAAGACTGTATCAATATGAGAAATCCAAGCTTGAACTGTCAGAATATGACGCTCACATCGGGTGGCTTCAGCAATGCTGTTCTCCAACAGCTGTTGTCTATCCCGTCCCTAAAATAAATTGAAAATTATATTTAGAATACTGACAAATTAATTTTACAAACAGAAGATATACGTATAAAAATATATAAACCTGTCCACTAAGATCTTCAAATCTTTTGGAAACAAAATTGACATCCTTTTCCACTTGAGCATTCATTGCATTATTGTCCATGAGAAATCGTCCAAGCTTCTGAATTTTCGGTACTCTTTCTGATGGATGATGTCTTAAATAATTTTCTAAGTCCTATTAAAAATATGAAATACAAATAAAAAGTGAGAAAACTTTTTTTTAAAGAATGACTTCTTTCTAATTTAGAAACCTACTAACATCTAAATTTTCAGATATTTCTTCTGCATCGGCTGCAGAATCTGGTGACCTCTTCAATTTCTTTTCCAGTCTATCAAGCCAATCATTCTCTCTCATTACCAAATCTGTAAGCAATTAAGAGATTATTTTCAAACATTACAGCAACATAATGAAACAATTAAAATGGAAAACATTAAAAGAAAATTTAATATCAAGATTTGCAAGTGATATGGTCATGTCAGTAAATATTATCAGATCACTTACAGATTTTGCATTTTTTTAATTCAATGCAAGAACAACTAAATAGGCACACAGTGTATTAATATCCAAATATCGTGACATTTCTTCATAACTTTAAATTAAATAAATACACAGTTGTATTAGTATCTAAAAGTCATGACATTTCTTCATAACTTTAAATTCAATAGATACATAGTGTATAACCATCCAAATGTCATGACTAAGGCCCAGATTTTGATGACATTTGCATTTTTCGACATTTTTTGTCCTTTAGAGCATTTTTTTAGATTTATAGAGCATTTTTCTCTAAATTTTGGGGCGTATTTTGCATTTTAAAGCATTTTTTAAGTTTCTTGTAAATTTTTTCCAATTTTTATAATTTTTTTATCACACTGGCTCCCAAACAATGAAGAAAATCTCTAGGATATTAACAGGGGAAGCAACATCTTTTCAAATTGAAGAAGAATTGTCAGTAAGTGAGACTGTCTTTTTCAAGTACGCACCAATAACATCAGTAGACGTTGAAAGAGCTCCTCCAGGTATGAAAATTTACTTTCAGACAAGAAACACTCATTTACATTTCAAATTATCAAAAAACATTTAATAATCCAATGTAATTCTGATATTTAGTAATATTAGGAGATGGAAGTTATTATATTCATTAAAGTTTCTATACAAAATGAAAATGCTTTGGTGTCAATATATTTTCCTTTTTTTGTTATTTTAGGATATAAGACATATTTTTCAAACTTTAATGAACGTAGAACAAGTATTGCATTGCTTTATATTTTTTAAATGACTCGTAATAATTTTAAAGAGTAAAACATTGTTTTAGTTCAATATTTTTACTTTATTTAAGGCATTTTTGGAGCATTTTTAAGGGCATTTTTTGCACTTTTTAAAGGCATTTTTTGCACTTTTTGAGACTTTTTGGTCATCAAAATCCGGGCTCTAGTCATGACATTCCTTCATAACATTAAATTGAATAGACACACAGTGCATTAATATCCAAATGTCATGATGTTTCTTCATAACTTTAAATTAAATAGATACACACTGTATTAATATCCAAATGTCATGACATTTAATCATATCATTACAATTAAAGAAATACACATTTATGATACTGATTTGAACAAAAAATAACTTAAATAATATCGATATTTCAGTGAATCATTATAGGTAATAAACATCAACTTAATAAAGCCTATACTATCAAACCACAAAACATACATACCATGAAAGAATAGAACTATGTGAAAATAAACTTAACTTACTGCAAAATTCATTGTATTTAGCAGACATGTCCTTGTACTTCTGTGATGAATTTTTTACCCTAGTTGAAACTTCTTCCCATTTAGACTGCAGCTCAGAAAATTGAGGCAGTAACTTTTCAAGAGAGCTCTTCTGAGACGAGTTGGAAATATTTTTGAAAGTTGAGGATAGATTGTCAATTTCATTTTGTTGTCTTTCAATTTTATTTTGAAGTATCTATAACAAAAATGAAAAAAAAAAAATATTAAAAAATAAATAAATAATGATCAGCAGAAATGAATGTCTAATAACAGTATGTGATTAATAATGTGAGATTCAATGTTCATATCTGCAAAGATATAACAATCATTTATACAGTTATATTTTTGCCGAAGATAACCAATTATCTTCTGCAAAAATAAAAAGAAACTCAGTTAAATAGATGAAGTCAATTCAATATTTATTGGAAAAATAAATTAGTTTTAAATTTAACTTGCAGTTTATATTGTAATAATTTTACAAATAGGAATATTAAACATCAAAGATTAATATTAGGAAAAACACTACTTAATGTAGTTTTTATAACACTGTTAAATTAATTTGATGCTTAATACCATCATTTAAAGTGTAACAATTTTTGCAAGTAGACAAAATATACAGTGACAAAATGTTTAAAATTGTTTCTTTTAAAGAAATTAAGTAAAAAACAAAACAGCACCCGCAAATAGTTGTTTGAACATCTGTGATTTTAGATGTTGTGGACATGTTACATGGATGTTAATTGATTGCATAGTTTAGAAGCATAATATCAGGACAACCATATACAAGTCAAATAAATAAAATCTATAGAAATACAGCATACAGAACAGCATAAAATTATTTATATAATTAAGTTATAATTATATTTATATACATCTGAATAGATCTTCTGATAAATAATAAATGCTTTTAAAGGTACATTGTATCATTGGAATGTATATTAAAAAATTTTAAAAATATATTATGTCAATGAAAACTAATTAATGCTTCAATGTACATCAATACAGTGTATATTAAACAATTTAATAAACACTAAGTCAATGAATATTTACAAAAAAAAAGGTAAAAACTTAATAAGCAACTATACTAACTAACGTATTTAAAAAAACTACTAGCTAAACTTTAATCTTAAAATGTTCTTATAATTATAATTATAAACGTGGAGAACAAATCATGATAAATAATAAAACAAAACAGAAAACTATTTCAGTAATACTAGTAAACTTTTTGACATACCTGAAACTTTTTGCTTTTTGACAATAATTCAGATGAGTTTGAAATGGAAGCGTTTTCAGGAATTTCAGACTCAAATTTTTGTAACCATGCACTCATTTCAGATATCACTTCACTTAAATGCTGACTTCCTTGCATGGCATCTCTTAAATTTTGATTTTTAACGTTCACTCTCTCAATCACCTACATAAAGATAAAAAAGAGTTATATTTTTTTTTTAAATTCTGGTACAAAAATAAAAACAGCCTAGAAACAAATCTGGTACATTCAGAATTCTTATTCTCCAAAAATCAAGCTTTTATCAATGGATTGCTAAATACAGTTGATAATAATGGATCTTTTTATATAAAGATTTTGGGATAACTGCATGTTGAAAAAATTATTGTACTGCAAATAAATCCAAATTTGTGATAATTGATATTTTTTTATTTTAAATGTGAATCATATATAAATTAAATATTGGATTGATTTTATTAAGTTCAAAAATTTGAGAGAAATAATCAACTTGTAAACAAGTTATTTTTGACAAAACTTCTCAAGACATTTAAATTTATTTATTAATTGACAAAGATTAGAAGTTTATTAAAAAAAATTCTAATAATCAGAAACTTTCTATTATTGACTTATTTTGTAATATGCTTAAAATTTATTAGTAAATTAATAGATTATCTCATATTTAACAATACAGACGAATCTCGATCTATCATTCCTGCATCTTTCGTTTCCTTTATGTATCGCCTTGTTTAAATGGTCCCATTAAAAACACTATTCATATAAGGTTGATAAAACCTGTTAAAAACGTTTTTGAAGCTAGCAGATATAAGCATCTGTTGTTCAGAAATTCTACAGACAGTTAAGAAAAATAATAAAAGTTTTATTTTGAAAAGTAAAACAGCAGATCTTAATTTGCTGTTTCATGGGGGAGATGCTCTAAGCATCATGTTTGATGTTTAAGCATCAGTTGATAAATATCTTAAGCTTGTGAAGTGGTTAGTTCAAGAAATGATTGCACAAACTGAAGAAGTGTAAAGTGACCGATGACATTGACTAAATGGAACCACAATCAGTGCCAACATTTAAGGAATACTCAAAGTCTTTGAAAAAATGAGGAATTTTCCATTTCACACAAACGTTTAGAACAAATCCATTACGCCATTACTTTTTATACATGTCATAAGTCATTATTTCATACTGAATGTTGACCCACATTTATCGTTTCCCCGTAAACATCGTTTACAATGAATGGACGCGGACTTTGGAGTACACTTCCAATGGATTCCATCACACGTTGGAATCAAAGGTAAGATGGCGGACTCACTGGCTAAAGATGCTTCTTTGGAACCTTTACAGCCAGATCTACCTTTCACTTTCAACGAGGTCTTTGCAGAGTGCAAAAAAAAATTTATGAACCTCTGGAGGGTTCCTCCTCCACATAGTTGGTATTTCAGAAAACGACCTGGAATTGCCTTGCTTTTTGAGGGACCTAGAAGCCAGCAGACTTGTTTGTCTCGCTTTGCAAGTGGTCACTTGAGATGTCTCTCGTATGTTCAGGGGCAAAAGACTTTTGGACTTTGCACTAAATGTAGGACTGCTCGGGCTTCGCCCGAGCATATTCTAAACTGTATCGATTTTAACATCGACGAGGTTTTTTCAAAACCTCATCTGTTTTTAGACTTCCTGGACATTTTTGGACTTGTGGAATTGGTCTAATTGGGATGGACCTCTTGGGGATTAGAAACAACAACAACACAATGAATGGTCCCATGAGAAATGATCGATTGAGGTTGCACTGTATTATCAGATAAAAAATTTTAAGCTCAGACAATATTTTCCTTTGAAGTTTCAGTATCACTATACTTCGAATTCCCAAGCGTTTATTTTCAAACCTTAAATAATATTTAAAATAAAACTTTTAAAATAAAATATTAAAGTAAAAAAAACTTTTAAGTTCTTACATAATTAAATGTTATACCATTACTAATTGTTTGCATTTATGTGAATAAAAAAGGGAAAGTGAAAAAAAAAAGAAAAAAAACAATATTAATCGTGGGTGCGTAGCCAAATTTTTCAACAAAAAATAATTACCTTTAAAGTACTTTTTAAGCACTCAATAAACATTTTTAAGCACTATATACATTAACAAAATGCAAAATAATTCTCAAAGACTTTACATGATCATGATAAAATAACTAATTCCAGGCAAAGAACTCTTCTTTTGATTATATTACCCAACATAAAAACATCGAAAGATTTTTTGGTTCGATTTTAGAAGGTGGAAAATGATGCCTGAAATTGAGAATATCTTGCAGAGTTGCACATGAGAATGCAATAATCTCACTGAACCCAGCTCAGTAGACCCACATACGGAATCACAAGTATTTCATCAAACATATTAAATGATTGGCGCTATCATAAGTAATGGACCGACGGTACGCGAAATGGATTGTGCTTGAATGAATTGTGAAAACTTTGAATAGAACAATGTGAAAACCATTCTTTTGGGCAATACGCAGCGAAAATCGACATGGTGAAGAAAATAAAACTCATTTTTGAAAAGAGAAAATTAAGAACTTTTTAAAAACACCCCACAAAAAAAGCACCTTTAAGGGCTTTTAAAAATGAAAACTGAAAATAAGCACCTTTCAGCATTTTTTAAAAATGCTACGCACCATGTTAATAATATAAAATCCCCACAAACAACATTTTTAACACTTACATGATTTTAATTTTTAAAATACTTGAACAAATTCAAAATAATTTCCTTACCTCCTCCCACCTTGATTTCATAGTAGCAATTTCCTTCTTGATGTTTGAAGCAAAAGGAGTTTCACCTGCACATTCAGCAAGTTTGGCTCCTTCTTTCTCTATACGTTCAACATTTGGTCTAAGTACTGTAATATCATCTTGAAGTGCCTAAAATAAAGAAAAAAACATGAAATAAATCAGAGTTTATTTACAAATTAATTAAATTGAAGACAAATTAACACATTTTTAGTTATTATATTAAAATTATTGTTATTATTAAGGTAACAGCAGAAAATAAGGTAAGAATTAGAACAAATATTTTAAAAAAGAATTGCATTGGTATTTTAACAGTCTCTCCTCTTAGAATTAAATAAACTGTTTTTTTATTTAACAAAGCTTTTTTTCAAAAAAAAAAAGCCTTTTTTTAACCATATACAAACACCATATATCTTGGTGTAAAAGTTAACCCATTGTAAAAGTCAACGCCCTTCTTGTGATCATGAAAAGGCAAATTTTTGGTGTGTCAGGTGTATAAATGGACCGCTGTAAGTTGATTATTATTTCTGTAGACATCATGCGCCAAATAGTAATAGAAGCATGGCATACGTGGATCCAAATGTTATCGTAAAATATTTTAAAAATTGCAGAATTTTAAATTCTTTGGATGGGTGTGAAGAAAATGCAAAATTATGCGAGAAAGGTGCAAGAATGCAAGAATTGTGAAAAAATTCAAAATTAACTGCAAATAACATATTAAAAATAGTTTTTGAAAGGGTAAATTTCTCAAGACAAATTGATACTGAATTATCCATATCTGTCTCATTGTTTATTGTTACATTGATATTTCACAATCAACAAATGTCCAACTTTATTAAAGGTGCATAAGTCGACCTCCCTGTTTTTCTTAAACTTTTGTGGTTTTGAAAAGTATATACCAGTATATAATGTGTGTGCATATAGATATATACATAGGAAATTTTTTGAAAGAGAATAAATTTCAATAACTTATGCTCCATCTATATTCTGTATATTAAACGCATTCAGTTTAGTAATTTCTTTTTACTACAAAAATGATAAAAGATGATCCATTTATACATTTGAGAAGAGAAAAATTCATTTCAATCTAAACAAATATTCATCCACTTTCAAAATAAATAAAATAAACAGAAATAAAAGAAAAAATTAAATTAAATAAAATAATACATAAATTTTCTTACATTACTCTGTTCCAGCTGTGCTTCGATAACGTTTAAATCTCCTTCTGCAACTTCTTCAGCACTCAGAAACTTATCAACATCTTGCATCCAATCCATTAAGTTCGATATTTCATTCTATGAACAAAAGAAGAACATAAATGTTTACAACATATTATACATTATTATGATTTTTAAACGATGACCAGCAGTAAAAGATTTGTTTTCAAAGTTTCAGGTGTTTTGCTGCAATTTGAAACAGTATTTTTTATGCTTTTAGAGCAGGTCAAAGCTCTAATTTTCATCACTTTGGTAAAGATTCCTTTCTTTCTTTAAAACAAAGTTAATAAAACACTCAAAGGACTTTAGTAAATACTTTTAAGATCCCATGCGTGATAACTTATCTTCACAGAATAATAAGTGATAATTTAGTACAATTAGTACAATAAATAACGAATTTCATGAATGATAATTGGCTCCTATACTAGTCCAATTGTTATGCTAATCTTAATATTCCAAAAGCAGGAAAAATAAGGTTATCAGTTTTGAAGTATAACCAATTTTTGTTTCAACAAAACTACCAGCTTAAAACTTGGAAAAAAAATGAGATTAATATTCAGGAGAGTAAATTAAAATTAATGTATTAAATTAAAATAATGTTTAAAAATGATTTGATTTAGAACTTTGACAATGATTGTAGTTTGAAATAATAATTGCTTTACAAATTGTTTTATGAAAGAAAAATGTTGAAAACAAAACAAGAATCTTCATTTTTTTTATTAAACAAAATTTCATTTTATAATTAACTACAATAAAAGCAATTTCTTAACTAAAATGTAGGAAGTTTTATAATTAATTATAATGTAATTAGAAAATTAAAATGTATTTTTAAAAACAACTCCTACAACTACCTTCCTTTTTTAACTTCAACAATTTAATTATTGAAACTAAAATTAGTTTAAAGAAGAACTAAGATTTCTTCCTCTAATACAAATTGAGTGATAAAATTACAGAATAACAAAATAAAAATTATAATAAATTTTGAAGAACCTAGAGTTTTGTAAGGTGAATTAATTTTGCTTTAACAATTTGATAATGCAGAGCCACCATGCTTTCCTACCACACTAACAGATACGTTATTCAATGTATTATCCAACTATATTATCCGATGAAAAAAAGAATCTAAAGAAAAAAATAAAAGGGAATGCTTCAATTTTATGTTAAAGTACCACCATATGGCAGTCATGTCATTTTATTCTGAAAAGGGAAATTTCCCAAAAGTGTTCTACCAATTTTGATACAACTTATTTTTAAATGTAGTTTATATCACTATCTTGTAATTATTTTATCATAATTTCGATTTGATTGTTAAGGTTGCATTTGAGCTGTATTAATGACAAATTTTGTGCATGTGTCATTTGAAGGCAATGCTGGTACATGTGTACCAGGGGTCTGTCCAGGCCAAATTTACTACTGCTTAGCGGCACCTTCACAAATTCAACTTTAGGAAAAACGGTAGTTTCACAAAATACTCTTTCTTAAAATTTTATTTTTGAATCCTGTAAGAAAGGATAAATCCATATTTTTGTGCTGATTTTTTTGATATAATTTTTCTTTCCCAAATTTGGTCTAAATTTTCACAAAAACCTAGACAGACCCCTGTACACACTACACTACTCCAGTTTAAATCAAAGAGCAGATGGTGATAGATCATTCAGTTACATAATTGTAAAAAAAAATATTAAAATGTAAATGGAAACTGTGCATTACAAAACTTAAATTATATAAAATAAATACCTGAATCTGTCGCAAATCAGTAATATATTTCTGTAATTGCTCTATCATTACACGGATCAATTTACAAACTTCAGCCCAGGTGGTCTCCAAGTGTTGTAATTTTTGACTCAAGTCACTCATCCAAGGACCAGAAGAATCGCTCTTCTGTAATTGTTGATTAGTATTCCTTACATAATCTAAATTGGGCTTTTCCTCATCAATAGTATTCTGAAGCTCCTAAAAAGAACAATAAAACATTTGTCAATAACAAACATTAACAGTAAGAATTTCAAATGAATAAATAATAAATAAAAGCTGAGAAAATAGCACAGCTATGAGCAATAACTGCTAACTCAATTAAAGCTTAAAATGAAAATAGAATTTGCTTTGCTTGGAAAGTTCAAAGTATACATTAAAAAAGAAAAAAAACTAGATGTGATTTTAAATTATAGTTGAATTGGAGTAAACATAAATAGCATTACAAAACTTGAGAAAGCTAATGAAATGGTGCCATAAACTAAACTGAAGCAAAGAAAAGATTTCTGGAGAAGCTTTAGGTCATAGGTTACATAGTAGTTATCTAAAGATTGATAACCTTTGAGGGATTAAAACCATAAGAGCCTTCCAGAGCTTCATTAAATTATGATGATAATTTTTTTAACTTAAAAAACTCAACAACATTTTTAGAAATAATGTTATTTAAATAAAGAATTGATTTCTTTTCATTATTTTAACATCAAGATTAGATAAATTAGATTTATTATTTTTTTTATTTTTATCACATGAAGAAAAATGGGATGTGTAATAATTGTGAGTTAATACGAATAGGCAAATCATTTGCAACTAAATTCTGATGTCAATAACTGTCAGACTCTCTAAATATAAATGATTAACGTTCCTTTTAGGCTGTACATGTACAAGGAGAAATACAAAAATTTTATAAAATTGGACACTAACTTTTAAAGACAGTTGACAATAATATTTATAACAATAGCATTAAAAATACACTGTAATTAATAGTCCTTAAAAATCTGAAAATTTGCAAACAGACTTTATTTCGCAGCTTTAAAATATTTGCCTATTAACCACTGCATTTCAGTCTGAAAGCTATCAAAAATGCTTTCCTTTGTTAAGATATTAAACATTTCGATTATTAAATTTGAAATAAAATAAAAAAGTTTATTAGTTATAAAATACTTATCTTATAAAATACTTTTTAATACTTTTATACACTGAAATTAAGTATATGATGTAACATATTTCTTATCATATAACTTTCATTTCATAAATCTGAGTGTTTGTTCACTAAACTTTGAACTTGTTATTCAGATCTCAAATTCAGATCTTTTGAATTATTTGAAGAAAACCAATGAAAATGTATTAAAAAAAATTTATTCATGTTAGTTATACCAATAAAAACTAACCAATAAATCAATAAAAAACTAACCAGTTAAACAAACAAACATGTAATTCATAATATATTTTTATTGCACATTTTAAGAAAATGCAAATTGTTGACTAATTTTCATTTGAAGAAGTTCCACAAACAACACTCACTCAAGAAAAAATTAGGTTAAATATTGCTCATGATAATAATTTCTGAATTAAAACTTTAAGACTTGTTATAAAAGTAAACTTCACCTGCAATTTTTTAAGCTGGTCTTCCATTTCATCAATACTTCCCAAAAATATCTGTTCTGATATTAACGCTTGATAAACGTCAACAACCCATGTGTCCAGTGATTTAACAGCTTCCATGAATGTGGCAGGAGGTGCTTGTAACATAGTATGATTTAGACTTCTTTCCATTTCAGCTAAATAACAAACAATCATTACTTTACCAAACTGCTTAATTTCCTCAGAAAAAAATTTGATCCACTAGAATAAATTAACATTAAATTACCGTAGTGCTCTTTAAGTTCATTTTAAACTGCCATCAACAAATACTTTGACAATGTTTAGAAACAAAATAAATGTAAGCGCATTATGTAAGAAAGAAATGTTATATAAATACAAAAATGCAGAATATTACCGGGTAAGTGAAAATTATTCACCCAGTTTCAAAGAGCTATTTATTTACAAGTATACAATGTACAAAGATGGAAAATGCATTTAAAGAACATGCATGATGCATTCCAGAAAACTGTTCAATATGTATGACCTTCGTCAACTGGCACGCATTCCCACGTATCATTGCCTTTGACCAATTCCCATCACATTTCTGGTTAAGGTGCCCTGGTGATGTTCCTCTGTTGCAGGCACTATGGTGGCGCAGTCGGTTAAAACGTTGCTCATATCACTGATTGGAGAGTTGGGGTTAGATAGTTCAAACTGACAACCGATAAAACAGCCAGCATGTATACACAGCAAGGTACGCGTTAAATCTGTGGTAACTGAAAGTCCTCTCATTGGTTGTGGAGAGTGAGTTCGGAAAGAGGGGTACCAGCTCAGGCACTGTCCAAGTCGTCTGACTGGAGTCAAAATTATGAGGCATTCTTATGATGGCCATTACAAGATCGAGACCAGAAAAACGGGAATAAATGTCAGGCCATGGTTGGGTGATGTGTGTTCCTCTGTTGTAATGTCCCTTCCCCAGGTTACCAGATTTTTTTTTCTGTGGCGTTATGTGAAGGACTAACTTTATGCATCCCAAACTCCAAAGATGCTACAAATACTACAGGACAAATTACTGCAGCTGCTGTGGTGAGCACCGTGTATCTCAAATTCATATGTTACGTGCTTACAAAGATGCAGTGTTTTAAATCCTGATAAATCATTTAAGTTAACCTTCTACAACTATACTTACATAATCTTCTTGACATAATATTCCATTCCTTGCAAAATTGTTCGACTTCCAAGGCAAATGACATAAGCGAAGGAAATTTCTTCTTAGCTTCATCGGTTTCTTTTTTTAATCTTTCAATTTTTTCCTCTTGAGCTTGCAGAGATGTAAGTCTCAACTGCACAAAATACAAAATTTTATTATGAAAACATATTTCTACATACAATAAATTTTGAACAAAATATATGAAAGTGCATGAAAATAAATTATTATTTTCTTCTAATTATAAAATTAATTAAAAAACCTCCTAAATAATTTTGCAGTAGATGCAAGACAGCAACATTTTTATGTTAATATTTTGTACTTTATTTGTTCTTTCAAAATTATTATACCATCAAAAGTAACTTCAAAGGTATGAGTCAATATGATTATTATGGGTCAATATGCTGAAACAGAAAATTATTGCAATAATAATTTGATTAACAAAATCTTCAAAAATGTAGTCACCACCTGTCTCAATGCATTTTGTCTTGATAAAAAGTATATTTGTGCATTCTAAACATCTTAACTAAGTATTGATACATTTATCAACGTATTAAAAATATCATGAATTGTCAAGCCATTTATCAACTAAAAACAATACAAAACTGTAGACATTTGTTAATTTATATGAATGGTATCTGATGTTAAAGATGCTGATCACTAACAATTTATATAGTGTATTTGATACAATTCACAAAAACTATGTGCTATAGTTTATATTTTGACATATTCTCACTGAAGTTTGAAATATACATGTAAGTGTAAATATGACTTGAAAAAGTGCCCTAAGCACTCAATAAGATGAAACTTGGCATGAAAGTCAAAGCATTAGGCGATCTTAATAGTTATGTTCATGAAACTATATAACATTTAAAATTAAACAAAATTTCAGGTCCTCTTTTCTCAACTTGTTATGTGGACATTAATGTTTTGATTAATATTTTATAATATATAAGACCTGCTTATTTAGCTTTTGCTGCAAAGCTTTGCTGCAAAATTGGTTTTAAGATAAGCAATTAAAATACATTTATAAGAAAATATTTTTAAAAATATCAAAAAATAAGAAAAACTGAAACATTCAATTTATAAAAAGTGTTTTGTATTCTTATTTTTTCCTAAAATACAATATTGTGCAATTAAAATAAAGAGATAATTAAATTAAGATACTAACTCTGCACTGTTCAGCCATTCTGCGACTTTCATCTGGTTTTTTATCGGCTAACGAGCGCTGAGTTGTTTCCATCCAACGACAGTGGGAGTTCAGAATCAGTTCTAAAGCATCTTTTTCACACCTTAGTCGATCAATGTCAACTTGGAGTTGAACTGAGTGTTTTTGATTTTCAACTGATGTAACGAGTTTTTTCCACCTACACTCAACTTCATACATGATCTTTTTAATTTTCTTTGGATTCTCACCAACTAAAAAGATAAAATTAATTGTATGAAATAAAATGTAATTTTACATTTTCTTTTCAAGTTGTCAAGAAATTTTTTTCACAAAAAAAAAATTAATTCCTAATTATAATAGTTTTCGCTAATTTTAAAAAATAGAATTGATGTCACAAAAAAAATTTAATATATGTGAAAAAAATCTATCGTGAATGTAGATTTTGTTTTAAAGTTTTAGATAAAATAAGGGGGAAAATTTTAACTGTTTTATTTTATAAACATGGCTTTTAATTTGAAATTTTCAACAAAATTATTGTTACTTTTATTTATTTATTTTCTTGCATAAATCTGATTTTTACAGCATCGAATATTCTTCCTGAAGTTTTTATTTGTAATATTCAAAATTATTGTAGACATTTAAGGTGCAAATATAAAATACAAAAAAAAATATGCACATTACAAATATTAAATTACTATAACCTTCAAATGTTTTTATTTCAAAATAAGATGCTTTGACATGAGTATTTTTCAGGAATAATGTGCCCATATTTTTAATTTTTTTTCTTACATTGTTAATTTCAATGAAGCAAAGCATTGATTTTGATTCTCTAATTTTTAGATATTTCAAATTTTTAAATGCTTATAAACATTTCAATATATGTTTTTTTTAACAAAAAACTCACCCTACCTTTTTAAACAGCTAATAATTTTTTAATCATAAAAATTTGAAAAACACGTAAGATACATTTAAAAAAAAAAGGATTTTAAAAATTGTAGAAAAACAAGTGTTACCCCTGGGGAAAAAAAAAGAAGCTTAAGGCAAAATAAATAAGCTCTTTTTTATAAGATAAATATACACATTATAGAATTCTTTTACGAAAAAAATGTGAACAAAAATTTTAAAAGAATCATTACAAAAATATTACTTGATTCAAGATTTTTCATAATTTGATGTCCTTGTGATAAAAGCTTTTCTACTTTCATCTTTTGCATACGGAAATCGGATTCAGTTTCCTAAATTAAAAAGAAAATTCAATGATTTGCTCAAAGTTATTATCAAAAATAAACAAATGTATATATTTGTTTAAATCATTTTCATCCCCTCACCTTAAAAGCCAAAAATGCAACAAAACACATAAGTTTGAAAAGTTATTGCAATACTTATTTATTATTCTTTATTGCAACAATACATCATACATTGTAATTGCACATCAAATCATCACATTGTCCTTGTTAATAAATTTCTGAACTGTGTGTTTAGAACGGAAAAATTCTTTAAGAGTTTTCCTTAAAAGTTGGTAAAAAGCTTTCCTGTAATTAATTTCTTTAAAAAGACATGGTTTTAATTTCAATATTTAAACATTAAGAGTAGAAATTATTATAAACTTGCAATTAGAGATAACACCGTGATGATCACTATACATAAATTTTCTCAACGTTTGAACAACATTTTTTATAGTTATAATTTCCAGCAGTAGCACTTTATATACATCATTTTCCAGAGTGAAACACTCCGAATAAACCAACATGAAAAAATAAACAAGTAACAATAGAATTCAATGATAAACAATATATTAACAAACACAAAAGTCAAGGAGGTTGCAAGAACTGTAATCTTTCCCTAGCCTTCTAATATCTCTAGTAAATTTCCCCCAAAGACTGCTAGACCTGCTCCAAAATGCTCAGCATCCATCACACAGTCACTATTACATAAAATATAATTTAGAGCACATAATAATCCAAATCTAAGTAGATACCATGTAGTCATAACCTATTTCTAAAATAAAAGCAGCAACAATGCATCATTTTAGATGACCCAGCTATCTTTTCATGCACCTTTCTGAAAGTTTAATAATCAATGATTTGCTAACTTAGCTTAGATTGATGATATTCTGTTAAAATATTTTCATTCTTTCTCTTTATTTTATTTGATAATCATATTTGAAGGACTTTACACACTTTTTATACTATAAATCCAGACATAAAATATTATAGAAACTAACAGTACATTAACACCAATGCCTGAATGCCCCAATGTCATAAATGTTCTCTATTAATTAAATACAATTAAAATACTCAAAGCTAATTGTAGAACTTCATAAAGAGCTTTTAAATATGCCATTTCATTCTCAGGATAATATTAACCATTTTATATTATAAAAAATTCTAAAACAAAAATGCTAAAAAAATTTATACACACTTTTTTTTTTTTAAACGAGACTCTGCAAAACCTTAATTCAAAAATTCTTGTATTATAACTAACATATTATAAATCAAAATTTGTAAAATCCCCAATTTTAAAATATTTACAGTAAACAATCACTACCATTAATTTAAATTTTTTCAACAACAAAAATCATGATTACCTCAATTAATATCTGTTGGTCATCTAAAGAAAGAGTGTCCCAAGGAGAAATATCATTTCCTGAGCTTTCATAAGCAGCTATTCCCATTGTTGATTCTGCCCTATCTAACCACAAGCCAACTGATTCGTAATTGTCATACCACTCTTGCATTCGCCAGGTATCAAGACGTCTCTTTTTTGGTCCGCCTTGATCACTGTCCTTTAACATACACGTCCAATTTACATATAAATATATATTAGACTTACAGCTCTAGTTTGTGAAAATAATATGAGAATTAACCAAATATTAAATAGCTCATTCAAATCTAAGAATAAAATTTAAAAAATGAATTTTTGATTAGTTATTTTCTGCTATTATTTATGAAGTATAAATTTTTTTATAATTAGCATTTGGGGTTACTTAAGCTACTTAAGTAACTTTGTCATTTGGCTGTTGAAATTTTGGAAGCTGATTTTAGCAACACTATTTTGAGTTTGATTGTTAATTTTTATATCATAAATTGAACCTTTTTCAGATATATTATACAACACTGCGTAACTGTCTTTTATACTGTGTAAATTTATAAACCTTTGCTAGTAATTAAGATGATTTCATGAGCAATTTTGCTTTATAACTTGTATCACCGAACTCTTATTTTTAAATAATCTCAAACAGTATTTTCGAGATTGGTTTTATTCATAAATTATATTTCCATCTTTTTTTTTAATCAATATTTATAAATTCACAGTTGTTTCCAATCAAGATAACAAAGATCACCAAACCTGATATGGATTGCATGTTATTCAGATTGTTACTACTGTACAATCTCTGATAAAAGTTGAGGATGCTATATATTTATACTTAAATTTGTTAACTAAACTTCAATTGAAATACTAAATATCTTGAACTCTTTTAGGGTAAATTAAAAGTGCAAATTGTTAAAAATGCTTTAAAAATAATTTTTTACATTTCTATTTTAATTCATAAATATTTTCAGCTAAGTATGTATAATTGTTTTAGCCTTTCATTACATCAAACCAATCAACACGAGTGAAAAATACTAAATTCTTACTGCTGGCTGAAATTTACCCTTAAGAGGCCGTTCAAAAAGTACGTACATCATGAAGGGGGGAGAGGGGATTTGCTATTTTGTACGGTTTTGTATGATGGGGAGGTTGGGAGGTATTATACAAAGTACGTACATAAAGTTCGGTGTTATTGTTTAAATAATTTCAATTAATAAATTATATTAAATAAATATTTAATTTTATTTAAAACATAATTATTTTAATTTTTATGAAAAAGGGGGGGTAGACTAATAAAATGTACGTACTCTAAAGGGGGGGGAGTAAGACCTTGTGTACGGTTATGTACGAAGGGGGGGAGGGGGTTAAAATTTCTCCATTTTTGTGTACGTACTTTTTGAACGGCCCCTAATTGTAGGGTAACTTAAGCGATCATGTTTTTTTAACACATATATTTTATGTAACTGTACGCACAAGTCTTACAACAATTAATTAATCTCTATAGAAAATGCTCATGAGTTGGCAAATGTCTCAAGCTGATAAGTGCCTTTAAGTAACCTCGAATGACAGTATTTCTGATAATTGTAGCTTTTAAAAAAAGGCAATCCTTTCTTCAAAAGTTATTTGGTGTTACTAACATGAATATTTATTAATACTTAGAGCATATTTCTACTAACTTTATACTAACTTTTTTATGATTTTGCAAAAAAATAAAAAATAATAATAGAAAAGCTATAAACTATTTAATTATCACTAACAGATTAAATGAAAGCATAATAAAGAAAAAAAAAAGAAAAGGTTGGAATGAAAGATAGGAAAATTATAAGCAGAAACATACATTGCTAGTGAATGATAGGGGCATATATTGCTAATTGAATGTTGAGAAATACTAAGAGCTTTATAAATTAATTATTATTTCGGAACTAATAAACTTTTCCACTTAAATTTAACAAACACTTAAACATTGACTGAAATGTATAATTTTTTTTTTATTTTGTGTAACTTAAGTACATTGTCAAGACAATTTCTTTTACATTAAACTATTTTAGTGTGATTTAAAATGTATATTGTCCAGGCATCATGGTTATGGAAATTATTTTTTACTAGAATAATTTTTTCACCTGCATTTTTCTCTGTCCTGTAATTTAACTTTTTCTATGTTATTTGATAGAGAAGCAATAACGAAAACCGTATTAGTATAATTGATAAAAAAAATGCAATTTATCGGATAAAGTAAGTGGACCATAAGTCATAAACCGATGCTTGATTTATTCTTAACTTAATTAACAATTAAAAACTAAAATTATGTAACGAAGTTAACTATAAAATATCTATTAACATTTTTTAAACCTATGCATGTTGGATACTAACTGATTAAAATAATTTCTAAACATATTAATATACAAATTTGAGATGCTAATGAGGAGTTAAACGACACTAAAAACAAATGTTGAAAGGATTTTCAAGATATAAACATACTTCAGAGCTTGAGTTAGATGGAGGAGAATGTATTAAATTATTTTGTTTCTCAGCTGCAGCAGCAGACTTTTCTTCTTCAATGATGGAAAGCTAGAGTATATGATATACAAAAAGATTAAGAATGTTATAAAACAAGAACGAACAATTTGCTTGAATAATTAGACTGTACCTGTTTGCTCAAGCTTTCTAGGGCTAGAACAAGTGAGTCCCATCTTTGAGTAAGCCTTTCAATTTTTTCAGTAATTTCAATAGCACCTAATGAACCACTTGGAAGAGTCTCTTTTATTTTCTGCGCCCTATCTGTCAGCTTATTAAATAAACGAAGATGAATGTCTAAATCTTGTTCAATTGACTGAAAAAGAATGTATGAAAGTCAAAACACTATTTTACTTTACAAGAAAATATGTAAAAATATAAATCAATAAAATTCTTAAAAACAGTAACAATCTCAAAGGATAAGTTTAAATTAACCAAATCTTTCTTACAAAATTACAATTATATTTGAAGTATTATAATTGTTTAACTCTAAATGAGAAATATAATGGTACACAGAGTTCTTGAAGCCCGCTTCAAATTTCTTCAACTTTTGAGAAGTTTATCCTTTATAGTTAACAGTTGTTAATCACGTAATTGTTGAATTTTCGATTGGTACAATTCAAAATTTTAACATGATGTCATTATTCTTTATTTAATAATTCGTTGTCAACAATTTAAATATTTCTATCAAAAAATTAAACTACAATAAACAAGTGAAATTTTTAAATAATAAAATACAATTTTCAATTTTAGCAAAATTAAAGAACATTCCTACTGAGTGTGGTTTGATCATTCTACTTTAAATGCACAAATCGAAATCTTTAAATGTATGTTTAATAGGAATTTTCATTCTTTGAAAAGTGAGAAGAAATACTGTTGTGCAGGATTGGAAAATATTTTGCATTAAAATGAAACAATTGTTTTCAAAAAATTTCAATTCAACACAAAATTGTATATTCATAACAAACAGACAAGGAAAAAAATTCTCCACTCTTTTCTTAAGATTGATACCAATTAAACTTTTCAGTCTATTTTCGAACAGTCTATTTCAGAACAGTTTGAAGCAGGCTCCAAAATCTCTAAGCCGGGAACGGACCTGATGATTTAACCCTTACCACTCCATAAATATTTCAAGTTTATTTCACATTTGGTATAATTATAATGATTACTTATAGTAGTTAAGTATAATGATTAATTATAGTTAACTTAATTGCAAATATGACAACAATAAGAGTGATAAAAATAATAAAATGATTTTAGCCGTCATAAACACAGTATTTTGTTCGTATTTTAAAACTGTCGTAGAACAGCCGACCTGAATCTTCAGTTTGAAACTACCAATGCTCAACTCCATAGCCTTGTAATTTTGAACCTAATCCAGAAGACGAAGGAACTTCTAGATTAAGTATCTGGCCTAGAACGGTTAGCTTGAGGGCAAGGGAGCATCACCTCACTGGGAGGCAAACACTTTATCTCCTGATCCACGACAGCTCACACACAGTATTTTATTATTCTATTTTATTACCGTCTTTGAACAGCTGGCCCAAATTTGAGTTTACGGCTACCAATGTTCAACTCTGTAGCCTTGTAATTTTGAACCCAATCCAGAAGACAAGGAAACTCCTGTATCAAGTATTGGGAGAAACTTGCTTTCGTGGAGGACTTTTGATTCAGCTAACCCGCATTTGCGTTACATGGGGAGTTAGACCACGAGTACCTCCCACGGTTAGCCTGACGGCAAGAGGACTCTAACCCATGATCCATCTACCACTGAATTCATATCGACCAGCCATCACTGGGATTCGATCAGGGTTCACCTCATTGGAAGGCGAACACTCTATCCCCTGTGCCATCACGGCTCAAAGTAAAAGAGCTATGGCACTCACATACTATTGGTTTCGTTTCTTAAGGGGTAAAATAATAAAAAATATGAAACTACACTAGCATAAAATAAATTTTTTACCTGCAGCAGCTTTACTTGTTCTAATAAAGAACGACTATCAGCTCCTGGTTTTGAAGTAATTCCAGTAAGTTGTAATTCTTTTCTATGTAGCCACTGACTGAAGCACAATTCTTCTTCGTCCAGCTGCTGCCACTGAGGCACAATAGTTTGGAGTAGTGTACTTCGATCCTTCACAGATTGACAAATGGCTAACCATTTCTGTTCGATATCTGAGAGCTGTTTCTTCAAAGAAGTATATGCTACAAAAGGTGGGAGTAATATGTTAGTAGGATGAACAATATTAAAATATTTAAAGTCATCATAAAAGTTATGCATACCTAATTGACTAGTATCTTCATCAGCCATAACAAAAACTATTTTAGTAATACTATTCATTGCTTCTTTTTTGCTTTCCACTTCATCCACAAGTTTCTGAAAGTTGAGATAATTTCAGATAATTTAGCAAATGCTAAAGCTCACTGTATGATACAGAATGTTCACTAAAAACTATTGCACCATTTATTTATAAAAGATCAAATTCAATCACAAAAATGATCGTAAGGTGAAGTAAAATGCGGTGAGCAATTTGAGCTAGCATACTTATTTTATAATTGGAAAAAAGTTGGCAGGAAAAAAAGAAATAGAAAGTAAAAAAGCATCTTCTAATTGCTAACAAAACTTGCTTTCATAACTTAAAGAAAGATCATTAACAGGAATATGCTGGTGACCTCTCTGAAATGATAATAGTTTGTCTATCCCTGATTCTGATCAATAAATACGTATTAAAAAATAATCCTACGAAATGAATCAGTCAGCTATTACTTGATTAAAAACTTTATTTGCTTCAAAAATATATAAACTGGAAAAAACAGTAGAGATGTTTCAAGTACTCAAAAACAGACGCCCATTTTCAAGACATGCAAGACGTGAATATGTAGTAATTAAAGTGATTTGAAATGTAATATGTCATGTTGCCAACTTTTTCATAGGCAACTTTGAGTTTAACTTTTCAAATCTTTTTTGTTGCTAACTTTTTCATAGGCAACTTTGAGTTTTACTTTTCAAATCCCTTTTCTTACTCCTCATTCACGTCTGGCAAGTCCTGAAACTGAGCGCCTGTTTTTGAGAGCTGTTTAACTGTTGTTTCCAATTCATATATTTTTGAAGTAAATTAAGTTCTTAAACAAGCAATAGATATGTAGTTTCATAAGAGTAACAAATACTAGTGTATATGAAAAGGAATAACCAAAAACCTAATTATGGTATCTAAAGGTCAAAACACAAGAATAGTAAGAAATAATAAAATAATAATGAAAACACACCTTATGAGCTTCTACTTGTTTTAAAAGAGCTTCTAAATTAGGCCCGAGAGGAGGTAAAGTATTAATTTTATTTTCCATGTCATTTAACCACTTTGTTATGTTGTCAAGCTGAATCCTTTGAAGATGCATAAACCTTTCATGCAAGCTAAAATTAAAGAAAAAAGTAATGCAATTGGAAACAAAATAAATTTAGATAAATTTAAACTTTCTAAATCAGTGCATTAAGCTAAGAGGTCTATCAAACTTTTGGATGAAGTTTTATAGATAAATAAAGATAGTTCCAAGTTTCCCAGACATTTGTAAAATTTGCAGAATCATTGCTTCACAATAATTTCCTAGATTTCCTAATTAGTAAAATAACAGGTAAAAAACATAACAAATAACATAAAGTTTAAATTTATGTAGATAAAATCAGCTGCAAAAATTTAAACTTTCATGTTTTAATTTCAGACTTCTCAAATTTTACTAAAAAATGAAATTTAAAATGTAAATTTAATGTTTACATTTAAATAAAATTCTAAATTACCAACATAAAAGGTAATTTTTTTTAATTTTGCTAATTACATACAAATTAAAATACAGTATCAATTAAAAGTTATGTATAAAAAACAAACAAAAAATTTTTTAAATTATCTTTTAAAAAAATTTGAAAAACACAAATGCACACCATACATTTAAAAACAAGAACATCTTGCGCCAGACCTATTTTTTAGAATGCATGCAGTACAGTAGAAGTTCTTTTCTATTTTACAATATTACAAAATTTCTAGCATAAATTATGAGGAAAAAACTAAATATTAATCCAGATTAAAAATAATAGATAGCAGAAAGCTTTAAATAAACATTTATAACAAGAAAAATAGGCATTTAATCAGACTATTTCTTAACTAAATGAAAGTAAAATATCTACATTACTTATATCAGTTTTTATTTAATTTTTAGAAACTTCAGATCCCAGACAAGTGTGATGATGAACACATTAAATTTTACAAATGCCATTGTCATACTGTACTTTTCTTGTTTGTAATTCTTTAATATGTATTTATTTATCTTGATCTGAAATCTCAAACACAAATAAAACTTATAAGCGTAAAAATAATAAAACACCAGATAATACGAACTTGTTTTGTCGATCTAATGCTTTAGACCTTATGTCTTGCCACCTGTCATTAAGCAACTGCATCTGAAGTACAATTTCTTCATGCTCAACGGTAGCTAACTTTCCCTGAGTAATTAAGTTATTGCCAGAAAATAAAACTTTTTCAACACCCTGCTGGTGCTTAGAAAGATCCACCATGAAAGACTGTAAAAGGAAAAATATAAAAATTTAAATCAAAAAAATTTTTGATTGATTTCTAAACTAAAACAATATTAACGCTAAAAAGAATTTTTTTTAAAAATATTATGCAAAATAAACTAAAAATATTTGATAAAGAAAAAAATTTAGCTGCAGACGAATTTCAAAAATATTTTTGAAATACACTCTATAACAAAAAATTGACGCACCAAGAAGCAATCATCCGATTGCTTCTTGGTGCCAGATTACAGTGGTGCATGGCTCAATCAGGCTGGATTGATGCCGACTTGGGACGTATAGTCTTTAGCGACGAATCCCGCTTTCAACTGTGTCCTGACGATCATCGAAGACATGTTTGGAGAAGCACATGGCAGAGGGGGAATCCTGCCTTCCCTATTGCACGCCACACCGGCCCTCAACAAGGCATTATGGTCTGGGGTGCCATTTCCTTTGACAGCCGGACCCCTTTGGTCGTCATTAGAGGTACACTTACTGCACAGCGGTACATCAACGGCATCCTAAGACCTGCTTTGCTACCATTCCTTTTGCAGCACACTGGGCTGGTTTTTCAACAGGACAATGCCAGACTACATGCGGCACTAGTTGCTATGAACTGTCTGCAAGCTTGTCAAACTCTTCCTTGGCCTGCCAGATCACCAGATCTCTCTCCCATCGAGCATGTCTGGGATATGATGGGAAGGCGATTGCATCTTGCACGGAATGTTGATGACCTCGTTCGACAATTGGATCGAATTTGGCAGGAAATACCGCAAGAGACCATCCAGGAGCTTTATCGGTCTATGCCACGCCATGTGGCAGTTTGTATCCAGGCTAGAGGCAGGTCAACACCTTATTGAACTTGTTACTGTAATTTTGCAATAAATTATTCAATTGTTCTGAAATTTTAATCATTTACTATTCTATGCATTGTCTTCCTATTCACCAGTTTTCGTTTCAAGCGGACAACTCCTTCTTGGTGCGTCGATTTTTTTGTTATAGAGTGTATATTAACTTTCTAAATTCTACGCTCTTTAGTGTAACCCCTATCACAATGACCTGCCGTTGTGATAATCAACACATAAAATCCCATTAACATCCATAGATTAGACGCTTTTTAATATTATAGCACCATTATAGCATCTGATTTAAACCTTTCATTATAATATAGTGACTGAAATTTAGTTTTATTTCTTGCTTTTTTTCATTCCCAAGAAGAAAATTTAAAAAGAAAACGACAATGCTTCCATTAATAGTTAATAAAAAAATTCAAAGAAATAACTTAAACCATTATGAAACGATAAATTTTAAATTAATTCTTTTTGTATAAAGGCAGATACAGGACCCCTAAGTTTTTAGGCGGTTGTGGTTTTAGGTTTAGGAGGTTATGGGCATGATCTTTGGTCAATATTCAACAAAATATTGATTACTTTACATTATGCATAATCAAAAGAGGTTTTTGCATACAAATCTAAAAATTAGCAATGAGTAAATATTAGCAATATTTATCTGCACTCATTATAGTAAACTAACGTTATAACGTCCCTTTTAATTTAAGCAACAGCAGTCATTATATTGAGTGCTGATTAAACATTACAATGGAAGCTATTTATATAAAGCATACCAAGATTAGAATTATTTTTGATTAAAATGTGTAATTAAAATATGAAATTATTACAATTTTTAAACACAGTAAAACCTAAGAGAATGTAAAAACAAAACTGTTTAACAAAGTCAGTTCATTATTTTGATTATTACTATTTTCAAGTATTCATTTAAGTTAGAATTATTAAGTTGAGTTAAAATTATTCATTATATTAAATAATTTCTCAATTTTTTTTTCTTCAATTTCAGACCTTTAATTAGTCTTTTTAGAAATGGCTTCAAAAATTATTCATTAGTTCACAAGAATTATATTTTACAACATAAAATTAATAAAAATTATTATGTATCAGTTACATTCTTTCAGTGGCAAACAATTCTCAAGCATTTGGATAATATTTTAAGCTTTTTCAGTTTTAAGATTGATTAGAAAATAGTTTTTAGCAATACCAAGATAAAAAAGATTTCAATTATTAATATTAATATTTCACCAAATGCAATTGCAAGAATATTTTTCAGTTCTTGCAATAATTAACTTTAGCTTTTTGCATTAACATTTTCCATTATGTTCCAAAAATTCTAAAAGTAAAACAAAACTTTTTAACGTAGTTTTCCTGTTTAAGCAATGTTAATATAAAAAATATAACTGAAGAATTGAAACTTGAACTCTAATGAATATATCAAATAAATACATATTCAGGAAGAAATGCTCTTATTGCAAAAATAAATATAGGAATAAAATTTAGAGTGTAACATGTAAAACAAAAACTATAACTTTTCTAGAATAGCTTTTTAGATTATCTCCAAGAGCAAATCAGTCTACTATCATAATCTATCATATTAATTTGATTTTTTAATAAATTAATAGGTAAATATTATTTTATGCAGATTATTCATTTAAACATGCAATGGAACAATGAAAAACTTAAATCACTGGTTGCTAATAAAATTTTAAAATGAGAACATGTATTATTTACTTCGTGTTCATGAAACTGCTCTTTAATTTTTTCAAGGCTATCAGCAATAGAATTTTCTTTTAATTTCTCTTCATCCTCTAACAAACATGCAAGAACATCCTCTAAGGAAGACTGATAAGCTGCAATATCACTGCTAGCATTCATATTATTTACATCGTTGCTCTCCTGAAAATAAAAATAAGAGAAACGAGATTAGAAAAATTTATATTAAAAATCACTTGTTAAATGAGATGCATTATTAGATGTAATGTTTAAATGAGTAAATATTTATGCTTTAATTTTTGAAAGAAAAAACTATGATGTTAGTTTAATCTAGGCTTTACAGACTGATTGTTTAAATTAAAACAGTTTTTTTAATAACTACAAATCTAGCAATTTAAAAGCTGCATAATTGATATTTAAATAAATAACTTACATTCTAATGTACATGACTGATACTTCAAAATATAAATAAGCATAATAATGCTTAAAATGATGTTAAAAATATTTATCTAAATTAATATTTAACTAATTAAAGCTTTATTTCAAATTGTTACCTTTGAAATAGATTTTAAATTACTCAATTCAAAATGATATTGCTTTACGTTTCTTCTCTGTAAAAATTCATTTGTTTTTTTTTTAGCATAAATTTTTAGTATATATGTGAATTGAAAAAATAAATGCACAATATATAACATATATATCTTGTGCTTATATTTTTTCAATACACATATATTCTACTTACCTAGATTATTGAATACTTAGGAGAATATACTGATAACTGATATTAATAATAAAGGTATCAGATAATGAATCACGTATATAAAGGGCTTGAGATCATATGGTAATAAGCCTTACTTTCACCAACAGGGCATTTCTACATCTAACTATATCTTTGTATTATTTCCATATAGTTATAAGCTCCACTCTTTCGAACGGTAAAATTTTTACATCTAATTATAACTTTGTACCATTTCTAAATAGTTACTTTGCAAGTTTTAGGTATAGCTACTATTTAACTATGTAAATATATTTAACATTTATATAGTTATAAAGTGGTGCATATATATATATACAAATATGCATATATTGTCTTTCATGGTGGATATTTCTAAGCATCAGCAGGGTGTTGAGAAAGTTTTATTTGCAGGCAATAACTTAATAACTTGGGGAAATTTAGATGCCGTTGAGCATAAAGAAATTGTACTTCAGATGCAATTGCTTAATGACAGAAGGCAGGACATACACACACGAACATTTAAAAAAATGTGCTTAAAATGTTTTCTGGGACAGTTTTAAAAGGTAGCTTATCATTATATGACTATAAGCCTTTCATGTATCATTGCAAGGATTACAATCAGGGTTCGCCAAGTGGGCCCACTTTGAAAAAACCCGCCCGGGTTTTATTGGGTGGGCCCACCTTGAAAAAACCCACTTGGAACGATAAGTGGGTTTTTTCAACAAAAAAATTTTTTTTTTACTAAAACTTATTGTTTTGCATTTACTTTTATATAATTTATAGTGCAGCATAAATTTGTCAAGATTTATATGATTAAGTTTTTAATATTAGTAAAGTAAAAGAAACTGGAATCTTCATGTAATTTTATAGTAGGTATCTACTATTGAAAACTTCAAGTGGGTTTTTTCAAAAAGTAATATTTTAATGATATTAAATCAAATAAAAATTTAAATAATATACTCTGAAAAGATCAATTTTTCAAATATAGTTGCATGCTTTATATATTAATAAACAGGTTATTATTATTAATTCATATGTTTAAAAAAATTGAAAAGAAATTTTTTTTTCTTTTTTTACCAAGTGATACATTAACAAATTTAAACAGTTTTATTTTCTGGCTTTAAAAAAAAAAAAAAAAGCTAAAACTTTTTATAAGAGAACTTTTTAAAATTATTTATCTAAAAATGAAATCATTTTCCTAGGGTTAATTATTTGAAAACAAATGGGACAAGTAACTGATACTCTTTATAATTATACGTAGTTTTAATTTCACTTTCTATTAACCTTATTATAAAAACATGTAAGACCATTAAATATTTATTTCAGTTTTTTATTTAACTCAAGTCAGATGAAATTTTAGTTTTTACTGATTATAAATATTTACAGATTATAATTTTATAATAGGTAATATCCATATGTTTAATAAATATAGTAAATAAATGTGTGTGAAAACAAAAAGATTAATAAACTTGTTCCTTTTATATTACTGCATTTATATTTTATAATTCTTGAGTTAAAAAATTATGAAACGTAATGTACTTAAAAATAAAGAAGATTCAAATATGTATTAGTGATAATGCGTTATTTAAACTTAATATAAAATACATATAACCAGGGTTCCCCAAGTGGGCCCACTTTGAAAAAACCCACTTGGTGGTTTTTTTCACAAATTGTTTTTTTTTTAAAATTTGGTTCAAAAAGAAGTATCTCCTAATACTATCATTGGACATATCGTTGAAGTTAACAAATATTTTAGAAATGTGCATCAAGCACATGGATGGGCAAATGAAAAAAACTGCTTGATGACCAAATGATACTAGGTGGAATTCATATTGTGAGCGCGTAAAAACTTTTGCCAATAATTACCATAAATATGAAGAGATTGTTCTTGAACAATTTTATATGTCAAAAAAATTAAATAATGTTGGGCTTTACCAATAAACTATCAATTGGGAAAAACAGATATCAATTGTTTCTGAAGCTTTAAAAAAGCTTCAACCAGAAAACATTTCAATTTCAGAACCTGTTGAAATATGAATTAACTTACTATCGTGTGATGAATTAGAATCCCATAAACATTTTGTTAAAAGATCAGGCTGTTCAGCCACATCATTTATCAGCATATGCATCCTGGATCCCGAAACAAGGGGACAATTTTTAAATGATGAACAAGACCAATTAGCAGAAAGCTGTCTTTCTAAGCATCATCCAGAATTTCTGCCACGTGTTATGGCATCCAAAATTTCCGATCCTGAATACTTTCCAAAATCAATGATGCTTGACACTGTTATTGAACAGTTTTCATCAAAAAATAGTGGAAAATTATGGCAAAAAAAAAAAAAAAATAAGTAAATAAATAAAATTCCTAGCTTCCACAAAATTTCTGTCAATTCTTTTTTCTTTGCACTCAGCACCAGCATCCTCTGTCTCTATCGAAAGACACTTTTCAACTTTCGGTTTGGTGCAGAGTAAACTTCGAAATAGATTAGGAATAGATAAAGCTACAAAACTCGTAAAAGTGTATTGCCATCTAAGAGAGAAATGTAGACACTTTGAATCTGTTGTATGATAATAATAATAAAGGAAAAAATTGACCTTTTTTTTAAAGTTAACTCTTAACATCTGCTGACAATTTTTAACTATTTGGAGAAAGTTTATCACAATTAAAAAACAGTTAAAAATTAAAATATTACTTTTAAGATTTTTTAAATATTTTTAAGATTTCATTTGAATACAATTTATTTTGTTTCTTTTAATCATGTTTAAAAATATTGAAAGCAAACAAAAAAAAATTTATTAAGTGATACATTAAACAACAATAAACAAATTTAAAGTTTTATTATCTGATTTTAAAAAAATGAGCTATAACTTTTTATATATGCTTTTTTATAATTTTAAGATTAATTTGTTTTTTGAAACTATAAAGTTAAAATGCATATATTTATCTAAATATTTGAAAAAAGGGACAAGTAACTGATACTCTTTATAATTATACATAATTTTAATTTCACTTTCTATTAATCGTATTATAAAAACATTGAAGACCATTAAATATTTATTCCAGTTTAATTTTATTACAGGTAAAAGTCAGATGAAATTTTAGTGTTTACTTATACAATACTATTTAATAAATAAAAATATTTTCACAGTAAAATTTATGAGCACTAAATGAAAAAACCCAATTTTCCCCGGGTTTTTTCAAATAAAACCCAATTTTCCCCGGGTTTTTTCAATAAAACCCAGGTGGGTTGGGTTTTTTCAAAAATCCCCGGGTTTTTTCAAACCCTGATTACAATAGCCACATTTCTGACATTTATTGTGTAGTTTTTAGACCGTTATATAAGATGGTGGATATCCACAAGATATTTTATTGCTATTATGAGATTATAAACAAAAACATTTTTCACCTCTTTTTCAACATTTCTCAAAATGAGTTTTGAAAAAACAATGACTAATAATTACAATTTTTTAAGATAAAAACCAAAAAAAGAACATCGCATTTTAAATATAAACATAAAACTATAAAGTACTATATTTCAGGATTGATTTACAATTTCTGTACAACAAATATACTCGCTTTAATCTGTCTTAGCAAACAGATATTTGTAAATTTATGAAACAACTTACATCAGATAGGTCAAATGAATCAAGCTTTCGCAACGGCATTGATGTATGTAACGCTTGAAAAAAACACATCACATACATCATCACAGATTTCTTATCAGGGAGACTAGTATATACATCTGAAAATTATAAGTATTTATATCAGTATTGATAACTTCATAATGTGCGTAAAAATTAATTTATCAAAAAGAATGAATTACAAAATATTACATAAAATAAACAATAACAGGGTCTGTTTTCACTGTCTATGCTCATTTTTCAATTAAAATAAAAAGAATAGGGAATGATAATATCAAGTTATTTTTAATAAATGATACAGTCAGTATTTTTAAAATAAAATGTAATGAAAGTGAGAGCATCTGCATAGTATTTTTGAATCTAAGAAAGAATCTCTGTTGGCAATGTAGGTGTTCCTCTCTATGCCTCTTTTTTCTTTCTTTTTTTAATTACAACAATGATATAATCCATTATTGTTCATTTTCAAAATTTCCAAGTCAGTGTGCGGGTGGGTGACCACTTGGATCAGTCTGCGTAGGGACCGAGGGTGTGCGGTATTGGTCCTTGTTAAACTGTGCTACCGTAAAGTGCTCGACTTCGCGCGCAGGTCGTCGGGCTACCAAAGCGGGGGTACCATCCCCTCCGCAGAGGATCAAAATTGTGATGGCATGTCTTCGGATCATCCTCCGGGATGTTTCCCAGACCGTCGCCAATAGCCCATTGTGCAGCTCTAGTGCGACGTAAATTAACAACATCAAAATTTCCAAAAATGTATAAGAAAATTTCAATGTGTGACTGACAGTTAGAAATTTAAAAATGTAAGGATAGATTGAGTAGCTGCATGTTGTTCTTTGGCGGCTAGTACCTACTTGCTTATTCGCCAATAATAATAAAGCCAACACCCAGCATCATCATGTTCAAGAGAAAACAGATATTCTTAATTATTTTCATAATTTGAACAAAGATCATTCTAGTTCAAACAATAATTCTTTTTCTTTTTTTCAGAATTCTAATGTATTTTTAAGATATAATGAAATAATGAACAACAGCATGTTACATTTTTAAAAATTGCATTGATTTATTTACAATTCAACGAAACATAGGAAACAGATCAAAATAAAACCGATAATTTAGAAATATGATGAAAATAAAATTGATTTCCTTTACTTATTTTTAAAACTTGAAGACTGGTCAACAAGATTTTTATTCACTTAGTTTTTAACAGAGGAAAAAAAGTCAAAAACTTAATTTAACTCTAATTTTCTAAAGCAAGAAGGGTTGCAAAGTGTTTCCTAACAACAATTTCCTCAAATAAGGAAACTATATTATTTAAATATTCATCAATATAAAATTTTATACTACTGTAAAATTACAGGATTTGCATTTCCTTACTTTCTATGACAATATAAAACATACCACATTTTGGTTTCTAAAAATAAACGGTTTATTTCACAAAAAAAACAAAGAATCTAAATACATTTCTTTTTAAAATACAATATCTAAATAAGTACAAACCTTCAGGATCCAGGAGTTTATCGATTCCTAAATGTTTATAAGCAACTTGAAATGCATGTTCCAGACGTGCATTAACTTCCATCTGCTGTACCGTATTAAAATCGAACAGATTCGGCCTGAAAAAAATTAAAAATTACAATGAAACATACTGTTAATGCAAGAATTCAAAATAATTTCTTAAGCATAAAAAACATACTTAAATTTATGAATGATAGCATTGAAAGCCAGTCCATCATTCCAACTTGTAGTAAAGTTTCGTATATTTACATTAGGATAGCTAAAATAGCAGAAAAATAAACAATAATAAATAAATTTTTTTAAAAAAATTAACAACAATCTATAATAAAAATTATTAGTTATTTACTTAGAAGTGGCATCACGACACCAAGCTAATAAAGTCTTTTCTAAATTTGTTTGCGGAATATCTTCTGAAGCATTTCTCAGAACACCATGCACCTAAAAAATTTACAAACAAAGTCATTACATGCCATGCAAATGTTCCAGATCTTATATTTAACATTTTAAGAAAGCTGCTTTTACCTGCCAATGCAAAATTATACTCCATACTAAGCCCAAGGTCAGTTTAGGATTGCCATCAACTATATCATTTGTGCTTATATTCACCAATTTTACCTAAAAAAACAAAGAATTAATTTAAATCTACAGTCAGTTGACTGAAAATTAAGTTTTAAGGTGCAATTGAAGTATTTTTCTTACGTTATTTTCTTTTAAAACTCTTAAGGCACAACCGACATTATTCAGATGATGGACCCGCAATCGTCCTTTTTCCCTCCTCTGTAAAAATCAGTTTAGAAATTAGTAACCTCTTACAGTTCACAAAATTAAGTGTACAAATAGTATAATGAAAATTTTTTTATTCTTTATGTATTTCAACACAACACAAAAAATTAAACAGTGCTGTTATAGATACGTAAGGATAAAAGCACAATAAGTTATCCAAAAAATTCATAACTTCAACAAAATAGCTCAAGGGGGAAAAAACTTTTGATATATTTTTAAGCTAACAAAATTTTTTATTATCACATATCAGCTCATTAAAAAAAGATTCTTAAATCCTAATTGAAGCCGTGAGTAAAGTTGAAAGTAAAAGAAGTAGAAAGTAAATAAAGTTGAAAGCTTTTCCTACATCAAAATCCTGCTACCTTGGAAGTTTAAAAGCAAGTATGTAAAAAATATATCTTGATAATTAATCTTTTACATGGAATAAATTAGTTAATAGGGAATTTTTTTAAAATTACAAAATAGAAATTCTCTAATGAAGAAATAAATATGATGTATAAATATGAAGAAATAAATATGAATTTGGATAAATTAAAAAAAAAATTGAATGACAGGCAGCAAAACATATGAGGTTAATACAGAAAGTAAGGTTAGTTTTAAACTAATTGGGTTAGTATAATTTAAAGTTAGTATTAAAACTAATAGTAGTGAGCAGAGTATAACCGTAGTTACATCAAGTAATCCTTGATGCAAGAAGCTTTCTTTGAAAATATCATACTCTTTCAATCTTAAATATCTTAATAAAGTCATAAAATAAATTATACCAATAAAAATTCTCACCAATTGAGAGGTATGCGGGGTGTTGCATTATCTTTGGACAAAATATATATAAGTAACATTCATTAGTAATAAGAGTCGCATTCATTAGTAATAAGAGTCGCAGTTGATGATTTGATGTTTCTTGATTTTACAGATACTGATAGCTTAAAGAATATTTATAATGGTGAAAACGATAAGTAAGCTAAATTTTTTTTAGATTTAGAAGAAAAAAATTAACAAATATGATGTGCAACTTGGTTTATTTGATTAAAAAAAAAGTATTTAATTTTACACTAACTAAATTTAGTTCATATTTAAAGAATTTTAGGAATACTTTTAATCAGTGTCTAATATTTAAATTTGTATGAAATAATAAAAATGTTTTTCAAAGCTATAAAAAAATTTTGAACTAATAAGACCAAGAGCAGACCAACTTGGTGAAGATTGGTTTTATTTTATAATCATGCCTTCTAGCATTTTCTTAAAAGTAACTCTGTTAGGTGGATGGCAGCCCTGAGTGATTACATTTTGGTTGGTTCTATAATAATTTAGAATTTTGATCTGGCAGTTTCAATTTCTCAATTGTTCAATTCTTCAATTTTAGACAAATTATCTCAATCTCTCTTCAATTTTAAGCAGGCTTTAGAATAGAATTTTGCTCTTTGGGGAGTTTTTATTGAGATTTTCACTTGTATGTTTTGTTCATGTTTGGTTCATAAATTTTATTGCTTTTCACGTATTGAGTACGATTTTATTTCTTCCATATTTTGTATATTTTTCACAATAGAGTTTTAGGACACAAACTAACTTGCTAAGTCTTGTTAAAAAATTTTACATACCAACTCTTTTCCACATAGTACTTCGAGGAGGCCTAAAAGACGAGTTCCATCCCTCAAATCATAAAATAAATCCTTTACTATAGGATGATTTCCCTGTTAAAAAAACATCAATTAAAAACATAATACTATTTATTCATAAAAAAGTAATAAACAATTAAAAAAATATCACATTAGCATGTATTTTGAAGAAAAATAACCTTAACCCTATTAATATCCAGACTTAGATAAAATGAAAAATTTTTAACGAATACAAAATTTCAATTGAAATACATCCTCCAAGCAATTTATTGACTCATGTAATTAATTTAAACCATTTCTTCATCACCTAATTTTGAAGAAATTTGTTTGAAAATTACTTATAAAAGTGTTTTAATTTAAAAAAGAAAAATATTTATTATTATACACATCAGCATATATTTCTTTAAATTTAACAGTTTTATGAAGATATAAATATATAATGAGTAATTGATTTACTTTGGCTTTCTTTATGCTTGGCGTTTGCTCCATACATAAATGTCGCTCAGAAACATTTCAATTCAAACATTTAATGAGTATTTTTATAAGAGTCACATTTCAATTCTTCTACACTTAAATAATCTTGCATTACTCATTTCACAATATATAAACAAAACAAAAATAAATGTGAATTAAAATTGAATTGTTTCAACATTTTTATCACTGAAAAATACTATAATTAAATTACATACTTGATGTTACCATTTAAGAAAAAGAATGATATATGTATATGACATCATAATCTGTTAAGTTTGTTTTTTTTTCCCTGTTAAAAAAACATCAATGAGTAGTATTAAAAAATTTTCCGCAATGGTGACAAATTTTCCAAGAATGCCGTTTGCACGCTTGTTCATTTTATTTATATCTGTTACTGTTTGTAGTTGGAAGTTAAAAATTGTCTAAATCTTACATTTTAGAGAACTAACAAGTCTTTGTCAGTTTTGAAAGTTAGATAAAAAAATTTAATCAAATAATCGTCTGTTTAGGAGGAATTTCATTGTGTATTTGTTATTAGGCAACTAAGATGAGTTTGAACAATTCCGATACTAGATTTTTCCTAGTTTTTTCTAAGTTATTAAGTTTAATAATAAAGTTACAAAGTAATGATTACCAATGTAAAATTAAAAAAGTAAAAATTTAAGTAAAAACAAATTATTAGTATTCATAATATAATTTAATTGAGCACTGAATAGTTAATTGATTCAATAATCTCTTGAATGAATATCCTTATAAACAGAAAGCTCTTACAATCCATTTGAAGAAAAATATCAATTTCACCCTTTGCCTATCAGGCAATTGGACAATTTTCAGAGAATTATTTGCATGAGCACAGATTTTATCTATAAATTAACAAATAAAATGTTTTGTTTTGCTGGAAAGTGTACAAAATTAAAACCTGAATTCCAGCTGCAGATTTTCGAAATGGTCAAATTAAGAGTGCATTTTAAATCAAATAAAAACAAATATATACCATACAGTTGCAGTAAAAAATGTTATCATATTGTAATAGAAAATGGGTCAGTAAAAATCAAGAAGTCAAGACAAAAATTATGAGAATTTTCCACATTATGCAAAGATAATTTTTAAACAAAAATAAATATAAATTTTATCTACCTTCCCCAATTGAGAATTTATCCATTTAGTAAAGGTTTTCTTTTGTACATCTTCTCTTTCATCTAAAAATAAATAAATAAACATATTAATACATTTTGCAAATTGTGTGAAGTTAAATAGTTCATATAAAATTTGGACACTTACAAATTTTGCACTCTGTTAAAGTTTTAAACAAAACTAGCAAATTAAACACACGGTAAAAAAAAAAATCCTTTATTAAAGTGTGATTAAAATAAATTTTTAAAAGCTAGTGTAGATTTCCCCTAAGGTACAATTAATTTTTGAACACACAAACACAGTTTGTCAGCATTTTATCTGAACGTAACAATACAGCGTCAAAAGGAAAATACCCAAATAGAAAGAAAATTCCCACACAAACTAGCCACAATTATTAACAGAACATGGTATAATATGTATTATAAAATAAAAAATTAAAAAGGAAATAAATGTTTTAAAATATATATTACTAAAATATGAATAATATAAATCAGTAATAAACTAAATACAGTACAGAACCCGTTATCCGGAAATCAGAAAACCGGAACGAAATTCGATAAATTTTCCCGCCATTTTTTACACAAAATTTTTTTTTCCTTATAAGATTTTAGGATTTTTCTTTCTTTTTTGAAAGATGTTCACCTTACCATCATTTTGGAAATAATCATTAGTGTATTACTTCATCGTTTTTTCTTCTTTTCAAGATTATTTCCTAAAAAAAAATTTTTTTTAGTTGGGTTTAACAATAAAAAAACGGCTTTTTGTAGCGATTCAGAAAACCGGAAAAATCAGTTATCCGGAATAGTGATGGTCCCGATCGTTCCGGATAATCGGTTCCCTACTGTATAAACAGGTAATTTGAGTCACATAAAAATTAATTCAAATAAATCGTTGTTCATTTACAACTTATTTACCACTCTTTATTATCACCGAATAATATATTTTAGTATTAAAAATAACATTGTTTTTTGTTCATTCAATAATTCTTTTTTGTTTCCTTGAACAGTAATTATTTTTATATTAAGAAAGGAGGCAAAGCAAACTGAAATAAAATTATAAACATGGTCATAAACAAACCTATTAATTGTATTCTAAATTCAGAACTATTTTAAGTTTTGATGTTGATAAGTTTGCGTCATAAAAAGATTATATCAATAAGAATATTATTTTTAGTAAATTTAATATAAATATATATATACATATATAAATATATATATACATATGTATGTATATAAATATGTATGTATAAGACTTTCTAATATAATTATATAAATATTTTTCTGATATCATAAACCCTATAAAATCAGCCTTAATTTTATTACATAAACTATCAACAAAAATATTACATACTACACAAAATATAACTTTAAGACGAAGATAATGATTCTATATTTGAAATTAATAATATTTAGTATTTTCAACAGTTTTTGACACTATTTGATAGATAGATTTATGTATTACTTGAATACTAATATGAATTTATGTATTACTGTGGTTATAATTACTAAGCAGCAAAACAGAAGCTTGTATTTTCTATGTACAAACACACAAAAAATAAAATTGCTTTAAAATCGCTATATTTTAAATTGCTATCTATTTATATGAATGTCCAACTATCTAATTAAATTTCATCAGATACTTAATTTCAAAATGGGTTATCTAAATTAAATAAAATAAATACTAGTTGTTTTTATTCCTAATTGATGTAAACAACTAGCAGAAAGTCATATTTAAAAAAAAAAGCTATTACAGTTTCTGTTTTTTATGCTGGAAGGTTTTGTGAATATATTTAAGAAAAATCTGTACAGAAAAAAATATAAAAAATATTATTAACTGATCTCACAGATGTATATATACTTAATTGATGTATATACCTACACATAAACACTAAACTTTATCATTAGGTTTCAAAATGTATGTATATGTGAGTTGATTTCCTTGGTAAAAAATTAAATTTTTATAAAATGCAGATACCACTAACAAACAAAATATTCTTTTAGAATTATAATGTTTTCACCCTTAAAAAAATTATTAACAAGTTCCAAAAAAATTTTAACACGCGATTTTCATAGATTTCTTTAATAATTTTTGTAAGAAAAACAAAATTTTCATAAAATTCATAATAAACTATCCTTCATAGATTTACAAGGACATTAAATAATGAATTTTGTACTATAAAAAAACAAACTAAAACAGTCAACTTTTCAAAATAAGCAATCTTTTTGCAAAATCTGATAACATTTCTATTATTTTAAAAGCAAAATCCCAAAACGTATTACAGAAAATTTAAAGCATCAAAACATCTGAATTCCCTCGCAGATCGAGCTCGAAAATTGTCCACAAACAAAAGTAAACAAAGCCGGAGATGTCACGGGAACACCGGGAGAGAACAGACATTGACTGAACACAACAAAATTTATTTGCAATATTTTTTAATATTGGAGCAATCATCAATTCCGAACAGATATCCGCCAAATAGCAATAAACAAACTCAAGATGATTCTTGATAAATAAAGATATTGGATAAAGGTGCGGTTTGGATAGTGACTCGATAATCTTGCATCGGGAAATCGCGGTCACTAGGAAAAGTTGACTTGTTAAATGACCATTAAATAACTCTTTAATATTAAATAGTATAAATCACTCACCAACAAATACTATATCCATGGCCCGGGTGGTATTTAAAACCACAAACAGTAATAATTCTCAGAACAGAAACCATGTGTACAATTAAATGTCATGCGTATATGATGTGGGATTGTCGATCTTTTTTACAAACTTCTAGGGTTGCCGAAATTTATCAACACCTTGGCTGGTTTGGCTTAATAGTTTTCCGGATTAAGTGCAGAAATACATTTTTCTCGCCTTGATTTCTCGTAATGAAATCCTGAATAAGTTTTGAAATAAAAATAAATTTTGAAGAAAATTTATTTTTATATCGAAATATGATTTTTATCCTCATAAAAATATTTTGATTAATTGAAAAATCATTTTCTTAATTTTGTTGGATAAAGCATTTTTTTCTAAGACTATCAACTTTTAAAGAGTCATAAAAATTTCATATTCTTTTAAACAGTTTAAAATATTTAGAGCAAATATTATCCAATTCGTTTAAAATTTGAGCGTAGTAAAGACCATTATCAATTTTTAATTTCCTTTTCTTTTTTCTTTTCACAAAATTTTGAGCTATGACATCCTGCTACTTCACAAAAAAAAAAAAAAAAATCTATTTCAAACGAGGAATTAGTGACAGTAGCATAACCAACCGAGAAAATACCCGCCTTAATGAAACACCATCACCAGGGGGTCATCATAATTTCAAAGAGACAGAGACAGGATATTACGAAGTGTCGTTACGTAACAGTTTTTCGCGTTTCTGAAATTCAACAAGGACTATTATTAGTTTTAATATAATATTATCTAAAGCAAACTATTCGATCAAATGCATTATAACAATTCTAATGCACAGATAATAATACAAGCTGATTAATATAACAAATATAAGTTAATTTTAATAAGTTAATTTTTTTTTTAAATCTTTTTTTAAACAATTTAGGTTTTTATATTTAAGATTAAAAATAAATTAAAATTCAAGGAGGGATTTTCTAGGCGCCGTATCAACCAGGGTTCGTTAACTCCTAATTATCTTATTGATTGAAATATTTTACATATTAACATTAACAGGCAATATTAAAACCGCATTTTTAGGTGAAACTTTTTGTATGAGAATAAAACAGCAAAATAGGTAATTTTTATGCTCAGTAGTACGCTCATTTGCCTCGGCAAATTCCATATTATAGTCTTCATCTCTACAAGTATTGAAATTATTATTCGTTTAATTCTTCGTATTCTTATTTTTCTTCTTCTCATTCTTCTTATTCTCATTCTTGTTGTTATTATTATTTTCTTCTTCTTCTTCGTCAGCGCTGCAGCCTAATGCACGCACGGGCTTTCAAGGTCTGCCTCCTCCAGGCAGAATGATTTACAGCAAAGTTTGTTCATCTATTCCCTAACAACAGTCGTATAACTTTCTTTACGCTGTTTAGAACATTGTAAATTGTTTACCACTTCTTCTTGTAACCTCAATATTTTGTTTGAATAATATAATTATTAAAACAAAATACATGAATCAGAAGAAAAAAAATTTTTATTTAATGGCTACCGCGTAACTTGTCTTGGAAGTAGTAATTTAATTCTAAAGTAATTACAGTTTCGTAACTTAAAGCGACCTTTAAAAGACACTTAAATAGTGGCGCTGTTATAAAAAAAAATGCTTTTACATTTCTCCTATTGCATAGATAGACAAATGCAGTGTACCTTAGAGATTGTTTTTAATATTTATTTCTAGAAAAACTGTCAATAATTAAGACAAAGTATACGCATTAGGGGATGCAAATTAATATTTAAGGGAGGGGGGAAAAATTAGAGAAGAGTTTTACCTATGCACCGAGAAAAAAGTAAAAATGTTGATTTAAAATTTATGGCCATTTACAAAAAATAAATAATAATAATAATAATAATAAATAAATAAATAAATATTTACTTAATGTAATTAAATAAATATATAATAGTAACGGTAAAAACAAACAAAAAAAAAATTTTCGTTTTTATTTGAATTTTATTTTATTACTAAGATTTTAGAATAATAGTCTAAAATCTTTCGTATTTTCGCAATTCCAGAAAAATTATTGTAATGTTTTCTAAAATCTTGCGAAAAATGAAATGCTATCCGAAAGGCCACAAAATTGCTCCAAAACTGTTTTCAGAATATAGAAATAATTAAAACTGTTATAAAATGATTAAAATTACACTTATTTTATTTATTTATTGATTTTTTTATTTACTTATTTATTTATTTTTTTAAAAATTAAAGTTGAAAACCGCAAAAACTAAAGATGATTCATGCTTTATATCTGGAGGATACAGCTTTGTAATGATAAATTTTACATTTTCATTTTTAGATATATTATAACTTTCAAGTTTAAAATTTTAATTCAAATTTAACATTTTTTGATGTTATTGTAAACATTAGTGAAGAAAAGTCGATAAGAAGCCAATTCTGGTA